AACTGTAAAAAATGAGGGGAAAAAACTCAATATGGACATTTGAAACGAAAAACACAGATTAACATTTTTTCAGGTTGGGGGCATATGTCGATATGGAAATTGCAGTACCTGAGGTATAGTGTGTTTGAATGCACTAAATTTCCCAACAAAAGCATCCAAAATACGCCCCTGTACAAGAGAGGATTATAATGTTAAACATAAAATTCACTGCTTGTGTTTTTGCTAATTGAAAATGTAATCAACAAACATATGGTTATGCCAGACCAAGAGAGTTCGTGATTCATCCATAGATGTTTGGTCAACGCCCTTCTCAAAGATTGGCTCCACCTATATCCAACATCCATTTTATTCAAGCAGGCCAAACAATGGAAAATAGGAAGAAGTTCATAACATTGGAAGTAAAGCAGTTAGAAAAGGTACCAAGTTCAGCATCAACCGTGCACAAGTAGTATGAATGCTAAGTGATAGTGAGGCATCATGCATGTTACTTGAGAATAAGTAGATAATCCGTGATAGCTGCAGCCATCACACAGCATTTATCAGATGATGAAGCATAACAGAGTTCTGTAGAAACTGAGTTAACATGGGACAACGAGATTATAAAGAAACAAAATGTTCCATTAAAAAAGCGAAAAGTAAAGCTATATACATGAGCCTCACTTTAAAAGAGAATTAGACAGACCCTAAAACCCAAAAAGGAAAAAATATATATTAAAACAATAACAGTTGAAAACTTTGACGAGCATGAAGCCTCAAAAATGGATGAAGAACAAAATTTCCTTCAAGAAGCCCATCTGACTTTGAAAACCCATAGCAACTTCTTCTGGCCAATCCTCAGGGAAGCGTTAACAAATGTGACCTATATACATTCTTTGCTTTGTAGAATTTACTTAATAGCACCAAAACTTCCATAGGAAGAGCTATTGATTCCAACCTTTAAACAAGAGGTGCAGGCGCAGAAAACTGCAAGTCTTCAAAAAAAAATACAAAAACAAAAGCCCAACCATACTTCCCAAACCCTGTTTAGTCTTGGAAGCACACTTCTCTGATCAATGACTTCATTTTCTTCCCAATAATAGACAGCAAACAGAGTGATTTACCTAAAAACTACCAGCTTCAAAAACAAATGAGAGAGGAGCTAAGGAAAACCTGAAAACACCTTAGGCAGCTGGGCACTCAAGCTCCAATAAGAATACAAAGCTCCACAACAGAAGGAAAAAGAAACTCCAACAAAATGTCAAACCAGACCAACACGGTAATTCCATTTATAGACCCTTAAACGTCTTTTCATTCTGTTATCTCTTCTTTCACCTCATCAAACAACCTTTTTAAACTATGATTCATCTTTCAACCAAAACTACTAAACAATTCACTTTCTGTTTGACTTTCTTTCCCTTTAGAATATTATTTTTTCAATTTTCTTGTTGCTAGAGATTGGCACCAGATTTCTTCAAAAACTCTAAGCCGCAATTCCAATTTCCAAGCAACTTCTTCAAGAAGTCAATCCCAATCTTCTGATGACATCGTTTGAAATGCAGGAGAGCAACATTAGAAGTACAGTAGCATAATCTTACAGTGGGAAAGCATATAAATGACAAAAAGATAAACTTTGTTGTTTTCAAACTTCAGTTCACGACAAGACTGTCAAGAAAATTCATATGCAATATCATCCTAACAAAGAACTTCAGGAACCTCAGAAAATTTTAGGAGCAATAGAAGTAACAAATTAAACAAACTTATCACACTCGAGCATTAGCATTGAAAATTGCACAAATAAAAATACCTGGGACAGGGAAAGATCCCCCCGGACATGATGCACAATTTCTGCCAGTAAACTATAGGCCAATGGTCTTAGTGTCTCATAGCATGCCCGACCAGCTCCGACTAGAACCCTGAAAATGCGGAAAGATGAGACTACAAAGTATTAGTACAAACAACGGCAAAGCTCTGCATTAGGATGTATATAGGTCAAACATATTACTTCTCTTCCAACAGTGTATCAATCAGTGGAAATAAACCCCTCTTATACTCTGTTCCAAGAACATGTTTCAGGGCTACTAATAATTCCTGCATTGAGCAACATAAAGATTAGTTCTCAGATTTCCTTTCAACAAACCAACTAAGTTGGAAAAGTAACCCAGGATACAAAAGGACAAAAGTTCTCACCTTCCGTATTGACACAGAATCTGAACATGTAACCAGCAAATTCACAATACTCTTACAAATACTTTCTTCATGCGGCCTGATATAATCAGCAGAACTCCTCAACAGGTATGTTAAAAAAGAAACTGTCTGCAATCACAAAGGCATAAAATAAGTACATTTTTAATTTACTTCCTCATTGACTGCCAGGGCTAATGTGCAGCCTGATTGACTGCTGAAGTTAGAGGTCACTATACTACCTGTTGTATTCATACTTCATAACGTAGCTTATGGTAAAAGACGGATATACATCTCTAGAAAAAAATTATTTAATGCAATTTCAATACAGAGTAAATCCCTAACAGTACCAGGCTTTATATAATCATCAAAAGCATATAATATCCATTGCTGTCATACTTCATAAGGACGAAAGACCCTAATGATATTAACTCAAGCTCAACAAAACCAACGAGGAGATACACCCTGACCCGTAAAGAGTACTTGAAGATGCTACCAACATGACATATATATGCAGAAAAAGCATAGAAGTATTATAAAACTGTGTGAATAATATAATGGGAAAAACTGAAAGAAAATTTAAAGGAACTCTCTAAAACAATCACAACTAATGTACAAGGGGCTAATTATAAATTTTTACGGACATTTTGGATGTAAAACCTATGAGAATAAAGAACAAAGTTACCGTTACAGAAATTCAAGAAATCATGTCTCGCCTCCCCCACCAAAAATTTAAATCAATAATACAACAAGTATCCACATACAGCGTACCTTAACCTGCGCCCCCTTCAGTTCGATGAAATGAGTCTTCAAAGAGGGAGGAACCTTTTCAGGTCCTGGAACAGAAATAGCAGAAACCATCAGAGGCAACAAGAGAGGGATATTTGTTTGAACAAGCCGACTGTACAGCTGGAAAAGAAACATGACGACCAGTGGACTCTCAGTTACTATCTTAAACGAACGGGTACTAGGATTAAGCTGCGCAGTCCCCGTGCATCCGGTAGTCAATGCCTGATCCGAAGAAGTGGATACATCCATGGGTTTTGTATCTTCGCCAACAGCAGCAGTATTTTCAAAAAAATGGTTTACGGTCAACTTAAAGTTCTGGTAAATTTTACACACGAAGTCCAGGAATGGCTGCACTTCATTTTCTAGAGTCGGTCTAAAATTTCTGAGAAGATCAAAGATTATACGGATACAAATTAAGCCGTTCTCCTCATTATCTGTGGTGAGCACTTGCATGGCAACCTTTAACAGGTCCTGCACGAAGGGTCTTAAAACTTCACTATGAGGAAGCCGATTAAGGATCTCCACCACGATGTTCCGAAGTTTATGCTCATGATTGTCAGTAAATTGAGGCTTTGTAATTTTAAGTAGGATTACGGAGAACGCACGAAAGTAGCATTTCAGAAAATTTAAGTACTCAGGAGTGTGAGCAATCTCCAAGCTATCTCGAACCTCCGTTGCCATCTGAAGCCTCGTCTGAATATCTGCTCGCAAACACATATTTCAGAACAAAAAAAAAACGTACGGGTAAACCTAAGTATAGCTCAATCTGATCGCTGAGAACCGAAAGTAAAACATGACAACAATACAGAAGCTGTGACCTTACGAGTGAAAAAAGAAAAGTACAATTTAAGCACATTGCATACTCCATAGCTTAATTTTAGCGGACTTCGAAACCGAATGTTATGACAAATTAGATAAACGAGGTAGATAACTGCAACATTAAGCTCAAATAACCTAGCTCCCCGGAACTAAACCCAGCAAAGCAAACATTTTCGAGCCCAACGGGGAGAGAGAGAGAGAGAGAGTACTAAGTTCAGGCTCGACGAGGTGGCGAGAATGTTGCTCGAAGTTCTGAATGGGACTCATGGCGCCCTTGAAGTGACGATGAACGCAAAGAGAAGGAGCTCGGTGGTTGTAGTAACGTTAAACGACTAAATATTCAGAGCGTTAGGCAGTTCCAGCAGCTTCTTCTTCTTCTTCATGCTCGTACAGGCTTTGGAGCGCCTTCATCGACTGGTATACGAATAAACAAGAGAATCGAGCGACTCTGGTGCAAGAATTATGCAGTGAATACGATTCCCAGTCCGGTGCTTAGGGCTCAATGATCTTGTTCAGCAATATTGCCAACAATTCCCAGTCGAATTCCTGTTTCCCGGGTAGACTTCGATCCCTCCCGCTCCGAAATCAACCATCACTTAGTAAGAGAAACCCGCTACTCGTAGTCTTGGGCTGGACCGGCCTACGCTACTCGGCCCATTGCTAACATCGGCCTATTAGATTTTGTGTTAAAAAAAAAACAAGTTTTTTTTTTACCTAATCTGACCTTTTGACTCGAATGAAAAGATGAGAGTAGAATTTTCATTTTTTAAATTAAAAAATGGGGAGAGATGATAGATAATATTAAAAAACATCAAATCAAAATAAATAATTTAAGTAAATTAATAAATTATTGTGATAATTTGAAATATAAAAAAAAAAAATTAATAAATCTGCGGATCAATTACTTATAAATTTATAATTTTTTTAATTAATTAATTAAAGTAGGATTCGTCCCAAGTTTTTATTGTGTATATAATGATATCGAATAGTAAGTCTTTGTCCTCTCGGATGACGTGGTGGAGTGGAGGGGAGGAAAGGTGGGCGAGAGACATGAGAGAGGAGAGGAGTCATAATCTTAAGACACAGCCCGCGAGAACTAACGGAATTAAGATGGGTTAACCACCCGGGTTGTCAACTTCAATCCAACAAAATTCCAGTGAAGTGGACGCGAAGTAAACCAAAAAAGGACTCCCTAATCAATTTCATTAACCTCCTCCATTTTCAGCCCACTCCAAACTCCAAACTCCAACCCCTTTAAAACCCGCCACCCATCCCATCCATCTTTTCACACCTCCCCAACCGGATAACGTCTATTATAACTCTCCCGCTCCCGGAGGTTTCAGTGGCGGCGCTGCAGCGACCATGGACGGAGAAGACGGTGGCGGGAGGCTGGTTGTGAGGGGAAGAGCTGAGATTGACACTAGAGCGCCGTTCAAGTCCGTTAAGGAGGCAGTCATGTTGTTCGGCGAACGAGTTCTGGTCGGAGAAATTTATGGCAACAAAATTAAAGAAGTACGTATTTTAGTTTTCTTCCCTCTATATATATATATATAAAATCTAATTTTTATGTATTTATGTCTATTTAATCTTTGAATTTTTATGTATTAAGTTAATTTATGCATTATATATATAAAATTATATTATCAATTTTATATCTCACAAATATGATAGTTTTATAAAATATTAAATATTTTATATCTCGTAAATTTGATCATTTTCAAAAATATTAAAATTTATTGGCTAAATTTATAAATTTTAAAATTAAAATATTGAACAAACATGAATATCAAATTCATGGATTGAAATTTTAATTTAATTTTAATGTCAAAATTCATATACTAAAATTTTAATTTATCTACTATGATTACCGTTGTATTAAAACTTTAAGTTGGTTTTCGAGTTAAAAACAAAATCGAAAAACCATATTACACACGTGGATGTGCTTTTTTATAATTATTTATTTTGAGTTCAACAACCGTAAATTATACTATATATATATATATATATTTTTTTTTTTTTTTTTTTTTTTTTTTTTTTTTTTTTTTTTTTTTTTTTTTTTTTTTTTTTTTTTTTTTTTTTTTTTTTTTTTTTTTTTTTTTTTTTTNGGGGGGGGGGTTAGGAACGTATATTTGAATTAATTATAATTAATGAGTTGAATTCTGTTCTACCTTCTTTGTTACTTCACTTTGAAGCTCATATTTATGTCCCAACTCATCATTTATATCCAACTAATGTGTAACTAATAAATTACCATCAAAATTGGGGTAATCAAAATGTGTTTGACTGACAGGTTAATTCAAGGCGGTTATAACAATGTCACCGATGCTTTTTACCACGTAAGATTAATATACGTTAAAATAAAAAATTCTTATATTATCAGATGGCAGAATCCGGTCAGTCGCGGAGCAGAGTAGGAGCCTTAACGGCGGAGCTAAAAGGGACAAAGGAAAGGCTAGAGAAAGCCAAAGAAGAAAACGGGCTACTATCCTTCTGCCTCCAATCCCTCACAGACGAGCTCGACCGGACCAAACAAGAGCTCCATAAACTGAAAGCAACAGACCAACAAAAACCGCAGCTTTCACCGCCAACCACAATCCACCCCGACGTTGACGAAGATCTCAAATTCGTCGAGAATGAAAAGGAAGGCAGCAGCAATAATAACACACCCCAAGACAACAAGAGATGCGTGAAATTTGCAAGCCCTCCTGACTTGGACCGTGTCATCGTTTGTAAGGACAAATTGTTGGCCCATAAATCATCGCCCCCGGCTTCGGCTAAGACTCCCACAAGGTCGAAGAAGAAGAATTTGGTCCCTTTGGTTGGATGGCTTTTCGCTAAAAAGAAGGGATATTGACTATAAGGCCGGTTTTAAAAACACTTTTGTACCCTTAAAACGCCATTAAATACCTAATATCATTTCAAAACCGACCATAATCTTGTTAATTAGCCATCCAAATTTATCTTACCGACCAAACGAAATAAATATCAATTTTATAAGAAGAATAAGCTCTCATGGCTCTACTTTAGGCTTCTCCAAAATGTCTCATACCAATAGAAATAGTATTATTTAATTATAAACTTATGAACATTTCCTAAATTAATCGATGTAGGACTTTCATAACAGAGTACAACTCTCAGTAAAAAACACTTTTATTCTATATACTTTGTTGTACTTTACACTACTTACAATTTTACATTTTATTCATAAAATAATATATTTAGATCACTTTCTATAAAATATATTTAAACAAAAAAAAAAAACTTTCGACCATGGGGAGAATTAATATAATTAAAGTTTTTTTTTTTAATGTTATATTCTTAATTAGACGTGTAAGTTTAACGGGGGCCATTGGAGAATGAAAACAAGAGCAAACGGTTAAAGATAAATTATTTTTAAAGAAATGGTCGGTAAGTCGGCGGGGACGGGCATGCAAGGCACGGCGGAAGGTGAGAGAAACGACGCCAAAGCCAACGAAATGTAAATATAGTACAAATTTTATTTATATTATTACAAAAATAATAATAATAAAATTTACTGATTTGTGCACATGAACCCATGTGATGTCCCAATGATAAAAAACATTCAAAGAAAGAAGCCCATGTCGGCTGCAGGGAAAATGGCGAGAATATCCCACGTGGCTAGGCTCGTGAGCCAACACATATTAACATAGGTGTATAATAATATTTAGACATAGTTCAATTTCACTTAAAAACATAACACTGAAATAGATAAATAATATATGAATAAATTGATACCTCGGGATTTAAATCATAAGATAGACAGGTATTATTTAAATTTTGGTTAAAATTAAAACACAAAAAAACAAATCAGTAAATAAAATAATTTGGTAGTATTTAATAATTAAAGTTTGTTATTATTGACCCAGCTATGATGGGTGATTGTAGTGGGTTTTATTTAAAGAGATAGTTAGAGAGCACAGAATCTGGTAGGGTCCATGGGGAAAATAATATATTGGGTGTGTTTGGAATTTTGCAGCAGAACGTGGAGTATGAACTGACCGTATAAGGACCCATCCACGTAATAAAATTCAACAATATAATTAACGGATGCGTATGAAAATTGGGAAATCAAAGAGTATGGTTGAATCGAGTTGGCTCTGCACGTTACAAGACAATAACAAACCACCAAAACTCTTCCATTCTTTAATGCTTTCCATGATTTGCTTCTTTACTAAAAACCGCACTCACTCACTCAAGACTAATTTAAATGAACACGACTCTCTATAATAGTATGATATTGTCAACTTTAAGTATAAGTTCTCATTGCTTTGATATGAGTTTCTCTAAAATACTTCATAGAACTTGAGAGAGTATTTATTGATTATAAACCCACAATCATTCCCTAAATTAACCCATGTGGGACCTTCATCATCCAACATACTAGATATGAGATCCGGCATAGATTGGAGAAGGGGTAGAAACCTCTCTATAATAAATATGTTTTAAGACTGTGAGACTAATGACGATAAGTAATGGGCCAAAGCAAACAATAACTGCTAACGGTGGGTTTGAGTTGTTACAAATGACATAAGAGTTCGACACTGAACGATGAATTGTGAGATCACACATCAGTTGGAGAGGGGAACAATTGTTGGCCCCTATCACAGTTGGTTGAAGAGATAAACAAAATATTTTTTAAGAGTACGTGGAAATCTCTCTCTCGTAAACAGATTTTAAAACTTCGATTTGAGAGAGGAACGATTGTTGACCCTTATCTAGTTAAAGAGATAAACAAAATATGAGGTTGACGACGATGCGTAACGAACTAAGTCGGACAATATCTACTAGCGGTAGGCTCAAGTTGTTACATGAGATTAGCCGACAATCGACAGTTCATGGTTTTCAACTTTAAATACAACCATGTGAGGATGTTACAACTAAGTGAACATCTAATTAATTAAACAAAGTAGATTGATGTGATTTAAATGGTATGGACATTTGTAGTTGCCACTTAATAAAGTTGAAATTTTACTTGGTGATTAAATTTGAGCAATATTATAATGGGTATGGGGCCACATGATTAGACAAACACAATAATTAAGGGATTGAATTAGGAAACGTAATTAAAATTAATCAAATTGGGTCATGGACTGTACCTCTTACCCACATGTCAATGTCCCATGCCATGGATTCTCATATAAAATACAAAAAACCAGCCACCCTTGCCAAATCAAATCAATGGCGGAGAAAACCAGAAGAGTGCCCGGAAAGGCGAAGCTCAGAGGCGACGACATGAAGAACAGCAAGGCCCCACCGGCGATGACTCTGTTCGAGCGCCTCCGCGAGGCCGTTTTTCGATTCATAATGCTATGTGCTCTTTCAAAGGCTACAAATCATCATTCTGCTGGAGCCGTCTTCCAAGACGACGTCGTTAGACGGCGGCAGTCATATCAAAACGGTGACCACCACCACAGTGAAGCTGTCGCTGATTGCATTGAGTTCATCAAGAAGAAGGCGTATTCCGACGACGAGATAATTCTCGACCGCGGATCAGTGGACGCCGATGATGATATGGCTGCGTCGGTGCCGTTGCCGGTCAGGTAAAAGTTTTATTTGGGTAACTGGCGGCGGAGCAAGGGATTGCTTGCATTTCAATTTAGCAACTTCGTGTGTTTGAAGTTAATGTATCCGGTTTTACAGTTTGGTTTTTATAGTCTGATAGACGTGTAATATATACTTGGATAATAGAAGAATTTATAATTTGGTGTGTTAGAAATTTCTCGTGGGGATATTTTTTCAATAACTTTAATATTAATATAAAAAATAAAAATAAAAATAAAAAATAAAAAACTTGGGCCACACCATTAGAGAGGTTTTAATTTTTTCCCTATACTTTTGTCCAATTTTATGTCCCACTTAGTTTAATATAAATATAGTTTTAATATTAACTAATTTTGAGATTCTAAATAATATTTAAACCGAAAACTTTGTTGTAAATTTTTTTTAATGGTTAAAGACGGTGGTGTAATATTAAAATTTAAAATTTTAAGAATAGTGGAGATAGAATTTATTATATTATATTTGCTTGTCAAATATATCTATTTATTATGATGTTTAAACATTTTTTTAATAAACATTATATCAAAAATGAAAATTTTTAAATAAGTTTTGGATCCACAAATTCTTGTTGACCAATTCTGGATCCCAACAAAAATAAATGAGAAATGAAATAGGTAATGGAGAGGAGGACGAGGAAGATTTTCCTATATACATCTATGGTTTATTCAAATTTATAAATTTTAATTTTAAATTTAATAAAATTCATCCCATCTATAGAATCATGAAATTAAAAGTTTAATATTGTATGTCAAATATAAAATTAATTCAATTTTATGTCTAATAAATTAGTTTATTAAAAAATGTAAAACAAATGTAAAAACGAGTAAAAGCGAACCATATGTAGTGGAAGGATAGAAAGTAACAGGTGGAAGAAAAGGGAGGGGTTGTTGCAGAAAGAGCAGGGAGGAATATGGGCTGCAGAGAGTGTCGGCTGTGATCAAGAGCAGCAGGGAAGGGAAGGGAGAATTGATACTTTGAAAGTGTCCAAATTGGAAGTGAAAAGAAGCAAAAGGGCAGGCGTGGGTGGATGTCATTTGGGCCATGTTACTAGTAAAGAACATTACGTACTGGAAGCCTCAAAAAGCTTTGAAGATGTTCATGGATCCACAGCTAAATTTGAGTGTACATACCCACCAGCCATGAATAGAAGGTTAGCGTTGAGCTATTTAGACTGACACTCAGCGCTCCCAAAAGACATTAGAGTCGTTGGAAAGCCATAAAGTATGACAAATTGTCAAACCAAACAGAGGCACGCATTCCCGCCCAAAATCTTTCTGATTGGGACCTTATTTTAGAAGCATGGTGGGATGAACTTGGCGTACAAATTGTTGGAAATCTTTGAAATTAACAACATAGTGTCTACCAACCTCTTTTAAATGTAATAAAAATAGGGTAACCAAAAATCTCATATTATTGAACTTGATTGAAGATTATTGGGAGTGAGTCCTATATTTTGTTAATTTAATAGAAGATTATGAGTTTATAAACGAGGAATACTATATGAAGCTTCTTGAAAAAGCCCAAAGCAAAACTATCAGAGCTTATGCTCAAAGTGGATAATGTCATACCACAATCATTGTGGAGAGTAGTAATTTCTAACACGGTAGGTATTAGAGTCATGCTCTAAACTTAACCATGTCGAACAAAGAATTATGGATCTCAAAGGTGTCAGACATTGAGTATTAGAGCCAGATATCGAATAGTGTAAGCCTCTGAACCATTCTTTATAAGGGTCCGTCTACCTCGCTACTACTTTCACAATTATAAGGATTTATAAGGGTTTGGAACATCCTAAGGCACTCTTTCTCCAATCAACAAAAGTTCCAAAATTTGAGTACCTAATTAATTAGAAATTACTACATTTAAATATGCTCAGCTGGGATTAACATCATAATTAATATAAAACCACTTTGTCGGTTTAAAATTAATCACATTCCATCATCCGGTGAGATGGTGGCGTAAGAGTTGAGGCTGAGCTCCAGCGAAGTTCTAGAACCGGCGGCGCCGTCATCCGAGCTGCCGTACCAAGTGGTGGTGTAGAAGCTGTCGGAATATTCCTGTCGCATGCTGCAGAATCCACTAAGATTCCGATCACCACCATGGATGGGGAAGAGGGGGAGAGTTTCGATCTCTTGTTCCTCCTCCTCCTCGTCTTCCATGTATTCTTCAACATATTTTGTCTTTTCAAATATATCAGCCGCCGCCGCCGCCACCGCCGCCGGGGAAGAACGCCGATCGACGCGGATCCATGATCCCATGTTGTGATTTCGAGACCCAACTCCGCTGCTACTTCCTCCCGATAATATCGCACACTCCTGCAGCAGCAGAATAAGAAATTCTCACCCAAATAGACAAAAAGTTCACTTTTTTTCGTTAAATCATATTGAATCTTAAAAGTGCTTACTCTGAAACTGTCAGTGGAAGACCCATATCCGTAATTTCCCATATGCCCCACGGCAACCATAACCGGAGAGGACGGAGCTGCATAGACATAACGAACACAATTAAAACGTTGATGTAATATTATCAGTAATCACGACTTTCCACAATAATATAATATAGTTCATTTTTAGCATAAGTTTTAGTGACTTTTGCTTTGAGATTTTCAAAACACTTCATACCAATAGAGACTTATTTCTTACTGGATCGGTATCTGTCGTGGAACGAGGAGGAGGAGTCTTGGGGCTTCCAAACAGTAGAAGAAATGAGCGAAGGGTGTTGTTGTTGTTTAGAAAGATGATGATCAGAACCAGAAGTGAACCTTTTTTTCTGCCTCTCACGAGCCTTATGGTTCTGAAACCAATAAAAAACGTTCTTGCCTTCAATTTTACCGTACTGTCTAAGCCTAGCAGAGATTCTCTGAATTTGATCAGCGCTTGGGGACCGAACGCCATTGTTGTAATAAAGCTCCTTCAAGATTCTAATTTGGTCGGTTGTGGGAGTCCACCGCGTGCTGCTTTGCCTGCACAAGAACCCCCCTTGGCCTCTCCCATTGCTGCCTTCCTCGTTGCCCTGTTTGGGCTCCATTTTCAAAAAAGGAAGAGCTTTTATGAAAGGATATCTCTGGAAATGAAATGGGTGCGCATGAATTAGAGGGGATTATAATGGGGAGTGGCACATGGAGCGAAATGGATACTCTTTATGTTGGTGTGAGAGAGAAGATGATCATAAAAAGGGAAGGGACAAAAGAGGGCTTAGAAAGAGTAGGGATCAGTGGCCTTTTTTTCTTTTTGTTTCTTTTCATAAACCCCACCAAATTTATTTTAGTAGAGAGGCTTTGAATGAATGAATGAATGGGGCTGCAAAAATTATAGAACAGTTTAGTTCTTAACCATGAAATTAAGTGTTAATCTTGTTTTAGAGTTTAGGGTTTCTATTTGAAGGGCTATTGTACTTGGAAGTTTAGGGAGGCTACCCTCCAACCTTCCCTCTTTGTATGGGAAAGGAGAAGATACTCTGTTGCATAAAGTACACCCATTGAACCTCCATGACAGTGAGCATTTTTTTTGTTTTTTTTAATTCATTATTTTCACCCAATAATTTTAATTTTTTTTGAAAAAAAATATAACCCTATTCTTGTATTTACAAATATGGGAAAACCCAGGTGTTATTTTTTTTTTTTTTTTTTTTAAAATGAATCTTTATGAACATATCTATTTGGATCTGAAGGGCTTCAAGAACCCTAAATGGGTTCTGAATCGTTTATAAAAAGCCTTCAAAATTGTAAGAAATTTATGGTTCTAATATGGCTGCAGTTATTTTCATCAAACTTGAGGGTGGTTGCCTGCACTTTGTTGTTCTAGATTTGGGTTAAAGAACAAGAACAAGAACCCTAATTTCTAATTCTCTCGATTATCACATATTCTACCAACCAACCCAATAATTTAACTGTGGAATTAGAAATATATATATGTGGAAGATTGTTGGAAGAGGAGTCTCGCTTGGGATAATTAAAAGAAAGATAGTTTGTTTATTAGATAAGGAATAATATATTTATTGGTATCATGCCTTTTGAGGAAAACTAAAAGTAAACCCACATCCGCTCATTGTATATTGTTTTAGATCAACCCAAATACTTATCTCAACAAAAAAATCCTTAAAGTCTTTTCGAATAGTCTATTCTAAAGCGAAAAAATAAATCACCCAATACCCTCTCATGGAATTAAGTAGAATCAATCTAATTTTTTGAACAATCGAATTTTTTTGTACTTCTATCAAATCCTCCGTTTACTTCCTTAAGCGACCTTTAAGAGATCGAGGTTGAGTCGGGACTCCTGCATACGATTAGTCAGCCTCGTCGACGCAAAAGGGTAAAAAGAAGAAAAATGAGATGAAGGCATAATACCCATTTAGCACAATAGAAGACAACCTCAGCAAGTAATATATAAGACAATCTCAGGAGGAGGAAGATATTAAGAAAGATGTCCACTGGACGAATACATGCAGGCTGCCCATGTTCATTTGTGTGTGGTTGATTTTGTTTTGTTTGATGTTTTGTATTCTTAAAAAGACAAACAATCATCAAATTCCAAAGCCCAAATCAGCTCTTTCTTATTCAATTTGATGATTTGATTATCTGAATTATGTCGTCTCAGAGAAACTTTCATCTATTTAGATTTGAAGATTGTTTTGTTGTTGGTTGTTTTTTTGGTTCTTATTGGTAAATGTGAAACACAACACAACACATACATACGGCTTCTCCTGGAATTCATCCTGTTAACTGTCTCATTCCTTTCTCTGTTTCTGTCTCTGACTCTCTCACACATCCACCTTTTACATAATTTGTCTGATTTTGACACAACCATCATGAGATATGCCTTTCCTTATCATGCATTTCCATGGGGTTTAGAGCCTGCAAAAACCAGATCACTTCAAGACAGATAAAGATCACAGTGTGGGTGCTTTTTGTTTTATTGGCCAAATGGGTTTCAAAGTCGATCAAATTTTTAGCCTTGGCTTTGTCAGTGGAAACACTAACCCTCTCTCCCTCTCTCTCTCTTGATTTCTAGAGAGAGAGAGAGAAAGAGAGAAAAAATCCTGAGCTGCTTAGCTCATGGAGGGAGTCCCTTTTGGTGGGTATACAGCCATAGCCTTTTGGTACACTCCCTTTTCTTCCGGGTAATCATAATTCTCTTCTCTCTTGCTTTCTCATCCATATCACTCAACATACATCACAGTATCATTCCATATCTCTCTACACCCCTATTTCTCTCTCTCTCTCTCTCTCTCTCTCTCTCTCTCTCTCTCCTAAGGATAGAGACTTGTAGTAACCCCATGAAGAAAACCCTACCCACAAGCTTTTAGGCCAAATATTATAAGAAAAACTGATATTGGGTTCAGTTTGTGGACAAGAACTATAAAAGGGCAATTCATAATTACAAACTCCTTGTAGAACAAACCAAGGCAAACGTATAGGAATAATATTGGTACTAACAGTTCAGTTAATAAATGCTTAGGAAAGGCCAGAGAGAGAGAGAGAGAGAGGGAAGCATTCAAATCTCAAGTTCTTCAGTTCTTAAAACGAACTGAAAAACAGAGGGAATTAAACATCCAAGAGGATCATATCAACAAGATATGATAATATACAGATAATGATATTCAAGTTCCAATCTTGGAATTTGATGGCTACTCAACTCATAAACTTTGCTGCAGTCTTCAGATTTACTGTCGAAGAAGAGTCCCTCCAGTGTGGGTCTATGACTGATGCAGGCCCATTCTAAACTTCCATGTAGACTACCCTTTTCCAACGTTGATTTTCATGGTCCCATCTGAAATATTTTACAATTGAGGAAGTGGGTTTTAATGTGCATTTACCTGAAGCAACAAAATCGCCTGCCATAGCCATCTCCAGTTCATTCTGCAGAGCTATGATCCCTTCAAAATATTCTGAGTCCTACAAGATCATCTCTTTAATGTTAGGCTCAAATTCGACTTAATAGAAGATGAACGATCCTCGACTCAACAAATAAACCAATATATGAACACAAAATCTCGCTATATCTCCTCGGCTTAATCATTGTTCGATATAGATCCATTTGAGAATTCGGCTCTCACAGTTGTGCTCTGAATCAATCGGAAACTCCCTAGTGCAGAAACTCGAACTATTTACATCTTTTGAGTAACAATATAACAAAGGACTGTGACAAATATGACAGCATCTAAACGTGTTAATAGATGCTTGGAAAATTCTTGGTACACAAACAAATAACAACTTGCATCTCTTTATGTATAACTCTAACACCCAACTATCTGATGTGAAGAAATGATGAAATGGGACTGTTAAATGATGCCACTCTTCAGCTGTCTAGATTTTTTCTCTGCTCCTCCTATCTGCTGAGCTATGTCGACCTCTACCTAGATTGCGTGAATCAAATCGAGTGTCGGTTCGGTTTCCAGATCCCCTGGTTCTCATATGACTACCCCTCCTAAATGACTGCCTTCTTATTTCTCTTTCTGATGATACAGGAGACGTTGGTACATTATTTTCACTTGCTTCATAGGGCAATGGTTGGATTCCCTGCAAATCCGGTTCTGGAGCATACTCGATTGGTATTTTCGACTCATCCATTCTTCTAAATGTAATTGATATCCTAAAATAGACCAGAAAAAAAGCTAGCTAGGTTGGATGATTATCAAGTAACGAATTGGGGCCTACTATAATCATAAACAAGCGAACGACATGAATTATACCTCTTTGTAGGGACTGCAGGTACACAATGTTTAGCAACATCAGCTCCATTTCCATTTAACACAAGAACAGACCTGCGAGAAAATGAAAAACAGTGAGATTCAAAATCTAATGCAATTGACAACCTGCACAAGTGAACATTGTCGACTGCATATAATACGTACCCCACGGGTAGAGGGATTGCAATTGGCCCAGAAAATTCACCTGGTCCTACAATAGAAAGGTTTGTTCCAAAAACAATATTGCATTCACTGAGGAACGACACGGTGCAAAACGGTCTGACAAAATCATGGCTGTCAATATGGGGAGGAATACAGTCCCCTTCGTCGTAGATGTTCACAATGCAACTATTAGGAACACATGTTGGAGGAAGCACATGCCACCTAACCAACCTTCTAATGATCACCTTAAAAAGAGAAGGTATTGGATCCACAATTTCGCTTCGAAGAATTCCAGGAGGATTGCCATTTTTATCCTGTCATTATAATTTTTGTTAGAATGATCTACCCTTCATTAAACATGATACTCTACTTTGGGATAGTAGCCAAGCATCACAATTGGTTGAACCTCAAAAATGAAAAATTAAATGCAATTCAAAAGAACCACACCAACTTAGCAATCAGATAGACTCACAGGTGCATAATTGTAACAGCACCCGAACTGCAGAGTCACACGTCCCTTCCCCTTCATCCACTTTTTGGGAGCTGAAAATGTTCGTTCTGCAAAAATAAAAAATAAAAAATGGTGAATGTGGCATTGTGTTCAAGTTATGTTTTCAATTTTAAAGTGGGGGGGNGGGGGGGTCTTGTCACTCATGGAATTGAATATCAGTTTGCCTGCCCTTCTTTTGTTCCGCTTGACATCATTTCCCTCTACTCAAAGTATTTCGAAGTATGTTCCTCTTTCGGCCCAAATCCAGAAATCCCTTGGATATGATACAAAATGACAGATTTCTTCTCTATGTATCTTCATTACTTGCCCTCATGCTTCTTCATTTGGGAACCATATCCTACTGGCTCTTAATTGGCACCTAGCTCTACCGGGAGAGTTGATCACTTTACTTGAAGGGATACTCATCAGTCACCCTTTTAGCAACGAAGAGGAAGTCCTCTGGAATTGCTTCATCAGAGCCTTTCTTTGGCTGGAGGGCAACCATCACATGAAGGATATAGCCACGCATTTGATGATTTTGTGGATCATTTAACTTCTATTACTCTCTCTTAGCATATAAATTAAATCCTCCTAAGTTCCTACAACCAACTTCAGTTATTGCCCATTGGAAGTGTTTTTTGTAATTCATTTAGCACATAGCTTACCATATTTTGTAATTTCATCTTATTAACGAAATGAATGAATCAATGTTTCTCATCCAAAATAATAATAACAATAAACATGATGCAAACGGGAATAGTTACCTCTTAATTCTCCTTTCTTGCCCATCTCCTGAAGTAAATAAACATGATCAACTATTCTCTTCTGTTCTGCAGCACTAAAAATACCTGTATGAAGCTCAAGTCCTTCAAGAATATTTACTAATTTCCCTTTAAACCTCTCCAGACAAATAAAATCTTTCTTCCGTCCAACATTTATGAACCTGATGTGCTCTCTCTGCTCTCTAGACAGCTTTGGCTTCTCAATAACCTTTGATATTGTTAATTTCCTTGTGGACTCATTAACACTGACAACTCTTTTTTCTGATTCATACTCATCATCTTCTTCTTCTTCTTCTAGTTCATCTTCCTGAGTCATATCAGCCCACGACATTCGAGGCCCTGAGGTCTTGATGGAAACTACTTTAGTGGATGGTACGCTAGAAGAAGTTTCAGGTACCCCATCAGCTTCATTCCCTTCATTTATGCCGTCCTTCCAACTTCCTAATGAATTTGTTTCCGCTTCATCTTTCCAACTTCCAAGAGAATTTGCATCACAAGCATCGTTCTGATTCCCATTACTCTCATGCATGACTTCAACTGGTGGTGTAGAACTTGAATTCTCGTCGGTACGGGAAGCTACAACGTTGTCAAGTTCAAAAATTCCATCAGATAATCCTCATGATTAAACAGGGGAAGCATCAAGATAATGCAAACCAAAGGAACGGATCATGTTAATTATCAACACACAGACGCCTCACTCTTTTAGCAAAGCTCTAATGCATTAAAACAAATATTCGCACTTTCCGTGGGACTTTGCAATGGCATGACACTCACCGCAGTAGGTGAGTTAAGCCAATTTGTATTGAGTCGTCTACTTCGGCCTCTGACCCCGATATAAGAAGAATGTTTTAAAAAATGGGATAGAGAGATATTGAAAGAGTGTTTGAAAACAATATTGAGAGCTTTTAAAAGCAATGTTATATGGCATACAAGTAAAGGCAACACAACGGAGCTTAAGTAACTGGTAACTTTTTCTGGTAGGGAGAATTTGACAAATAGTCCCATCCATTTATGATACATTTTGGGGTGATTCAAGTCTAGCCGACCTAGACGTAATTTCGTCGAATAGTCATACCATCACTTTATGGTACATTTTGGAGTGATTCAAGTCTAACCAACCTAAACGTAATTTTGTCGAATAGTCATATCAAATCACGGGAGGAATTGACAACGAGTCAATACATTATACAAATTACCACACTTTAATGCCTATAAAAAAAAAAAAATATCGATTCCCCATCTCATTAAAAGTTAAAAATTTTCCACTTAGAATACTCAATTATTTCAAAGAGCGTAAAATATTAGATGGGTTTTTTCTCTAACGCCCCTCATGCAACGATTAATTACTAACGAATAGAAAGCAACAAAAGAATACCTGGGTCGAGGGCGCGGATTCGATCCGAGAGCAATTTGGTGCAGTTCCGGCAGAGATCTCTCGAAAGAAACGGAAGCCAAGTGGTGAGAAACTCAGAAGCGATCCGTAGCTCTGATGGCTTGTAGTTATGAAGAAAAGGGTCTTCCAGTTTGAGATGCTGATGACTAATCGCCATAGGCAAGTGACGAACAATCAACTGCAAACAACGGAGATGATGGTTGAGAAGATGTTCAAAAACCAATAATCGTTCAAAGCAAAGCGATGGTGCTAAAAATCAAAATTACGGGAACCTTGCTTTGTGGACCGCAAAATATAGAGCGAAATTGCAAATGTTTTCCTAATTCAACAGCGGCAAATGCAAAGTTTGGAAGAGACGTACAAAAAACTGCATCGGATTCTCATTCGGGTCGGATTCGGATTCGGATTCGGATTCGGATTCGGATTCCTATTCCTATCCGTTCCTCCAATTTTGGGCCAGGCCACTAAAAGAGCCCTAGGTACTTACTTCATTGAACCAGAACTATAATATTTTAAAAATGTCCCTTTTATCTGCAATTGTTTGAAAAATTATTTTTAGTAGTATTAAATGATGACATGGCACATCGACGTTGATTGGGTTTTGCTGACGGTGTAATATTTTGAATGATGTGGCCAGCAAAAGGAAAAGAGAATGAGAATAGGGGAGAAAAAGGAGCAATATAAATATAAAATTAATAAATGTTTGCCATGTCATTTACACCAATACACGTCAGCAAATCCCAATAAACGATTAATGCTCATGATTCATGGGTCAGCCCAATAGAAAGCCCAAGATGAAATTGTCAGATCCAGGTCCAACTAATTTTAACTGGGCCGAACCGCTTAGCCCAATAATTCTCAGCCAGAGAAACGGAGAAGAAATGGATAAAGCAACTCCGCCAGTCGAAGTGCTCACTGCTCAGCGAGAAGCCATGGAATCGACCAGTCTCCACCGATTTCTGGCGTCTGAACCGCCGCTCTTGACCATCGGTCCACATAAATTCTCCCCTACATCTCAGAATCAGGTATTCTTTCTATCTCTACGCCATCAACAGCCTCTCAGGATCAAACCGATCAACGCCACGGACACCGACGGCGACAGCGCGCCACCGCAGGTTCCGCCGGGAATAACGCCTCCGGAGACGGTTGATGTTCGGTTTCGGAAGAGGTCGAGAAGACGATCGAAACAGGAGAGCGAGGATGGAGCGGCGATGGGGAATGTGCGGGCGAGAAAGGCGCCGGTGGAGATTGCTTCCAAGAAGCCGAAGAAATGGGAGGAGATGGACTTGGCGGAGAAGGCGACGGAGCTGTATATGGGAGAGAAGGGTTTGTTGTTTTGGCTAAACAAGTTTGCTTATGCTTCCATTTTTATCATGATTGGTGGTTGGATTGTGTTCCGATTTGTTGGGCCTTCGCTCAATCTTTACCAGTTGGATACTCCACCATTATCTCCGACTTCCATTTTCAAGGGCTGATGATCTCCGGAATTGCCTCTTTTTTTGTTGCAATCTTTAATCCTTTTCATACACATTCTACTGCGGCTGCTCAAGTTTTATTCTATCGTTGTAAATTCTTGTTCCAGGGATTTCTTGACTGATAAGTGTTTATTGAGAATTTGGTGAATATGAATTGGGTTTCAAGCTGAAGCACTCATTTAACAATTTTAAAGTTCAGAAAGCTATGAGAACCAAAAGTTGAAATCCTTGTCTCGTGAAATTTTCCAAAATTTTAATATGGGATAACTTGAAGAATTTTGATGGAGCTAAATTGAATTTTTTCAAGAATTACCTCTTGAGCGGGATGGAATCTTTCCTAACCTCTTCCTGTTATTCTCAGCTCGTTTTCGGGTTGTGTTCAGGGCCCAGGCACCTTTCTCCTCTCCTCCTCACCGTGCAGAGAGCAACTGAAAGGGCTGTGTTTTTCTCCATCTTTCTTTCCTATTTCGAGGATTATTAGCTCCGAAAATTTGAATTTCAAAGCATGAGACCTAATTTAAGATCGAAGCTGAGACCCATCGAACCCATCTCTCGAACCCGATGTTGAGATGGTGGTGTAAGCCAATCTAGTCTTTTCCTTATCCTTTATCTAAATTAAATTGTTGGATTGGAATGAATCTATTATTTAATTATTTAATGAGAATGAGATGATTGAATTTAAATTTTTATTAATTTAAACAATTAAATTTGATTTAAAAAATGTTTCAAATGGGTTGGACTTTTAGTACATAACATGTCTATTTAAATGTCTAAACATATGTATGAAATTATAATTTAATAATTTATAAACGTTTTGGTAATAAATAATTTTTTATAACTAGTAGTAATTTTTATCATGTCGATAGTTTTATCTTCACCACAATTGTTGATTTTTTTTTTTATTAAAAAATAGTGATAAGTACTACGAAATATCAAAAGAAGCTTTCGGGTAGAACCTTCTTAAACCCTAATCCCCAATCAACTCGAATTCCCGGGTTTGAGTTCCCACGAAATTATGAAATTGAATTGAAAGAAACTGTAATCTGTGTACCGCGATCACAGTCCGAAGGTCAAGGTTGTGTATCGTGGATAAATTGGTCAGAGACTAAGAGGGCGAGCTCAATGTCCGCTAGAAAACAAGGTGAAACGCCGGCCGACGAAGGTGGATCTGGCACGAAGCCACCGCGCATCAAAATCTCAAAATCCTCCGACGCAGGCGATGCCAAGGTTGTTCTGATACTTCATTTTTCATACTTGATTTTCTGGTTGTCTTGGAAAGTAGCTATAGTAGATACTTCTCAGACTTATCCTTTTAGTGTCACTGATTTCTGACATTGAGTTTTATGAGGGCATAAGTTTTTCTAAATTGTTTATCTTCGAGAAATCTATACCACATTGCACTAGTCCCATTCATCTCAAGGAATTTTCGACTACTGCAGAATGTTAGCAAGAGGCTTAAAGACATGGAAATTTGTGTCCCAATAGTCTGTGGAACCATCGCATTTTATCTGGGCAGGAAGGCCAGCGAGTGAGTCTCCTCCCTTCAGGGGCTGTCTCATTTCCTCTCCTCCTTTCAGGCATTTGGCTAACGAAAATGATTTTATTGCCCCTTTAGGTCACAGTCACATAAATGGACAGTCTATGTGCGTGGTGCTACTAATGAGGATCTCGGGGTGGTGATAAAGAAAGTTGTGTTTCAGTTACATCCCAGCTTTAATAACCCAACAAGAGTGGTTGAATCGCCACCTTTTGAGTTATCAGAATGTGGTTGGGGAGAGTTTGAGATTGCCGTCACACTTTTCTTTCACAGCGACGTTTGTGATAAACAATTAGACCTGTAAGCTATTGTTGTTTTTTTTCTCGTGGCACGTATAGTGATTTTATCTTAAAAGGAATTTTTATGACTATTTCAAATTACTATAGATTTCACCATTTGAAGTTGTACCCTGAAGACGAATCTGGTCCACAAACAACAAAGAAACCTGTTGTGGTGGAATCTTACAACGAAATTGTGTTTCCAGATCCATCTGAAATTTTTTTCGCTCGTGTTCAGAATCATCCAGCTGTTGTTGTGCCTCGCCTTCCTGCTGGTTTCAATCTACCTAATCCTGGTAAATATCTGTAATATTGTCTTGCTTACCTTCTGTTGCAGTTTGTAAGTTAATTTAATAATTTGGTATATGCAGCACCAATTGAGAATATGGCAGAAAGGGAGAGAGGGGACACCAAGGATCATCCCCTTAGTCAATGGTTCCTGAATTTCTCAGAGGCAGACGAGCTGTTAAAACTTGCAGCTGCTCGCCAACAAGTACGATTATATTGTTTTCTTACGTTCTTCGCAACTAATCATATTTTCTCCTATTTCCCAATCTTTCTTTTTATACCTGTTGAAATATTTTAGTTTCTAAAGCAATCGTATTTCTGGCTTGCTATTATCACAACACTATGACTAGTGATATTGTCTATATATGTTTGCATGCTTTTGAGAGTCTTCTTCATCTTGTTGGTGACGGTGTAATAATATGTCAAACTGTGGAGAATTGAAGTCCACTTATAATGTGTTAACTTCAAATTGATCTTGATTATCTTATTCTTTCTTTCATGATCGCATGAGCAGCTATCTAGTGGAAGGCTCATGATTAAGGTTGTAGATTTTTACATTAACGTTATAGTTGATCTGCTAGGTGCAAGCTCATATTGTCAAGTTGAGAAGACAACTCAGTGTGATGGATGGACTGCCTCAGTTTTCAAAACCAACCGCTGGTTATGAATTTACGTAATAAGCTGGAGGCTGATGGAGTTTATCCATGTAGTTAGGTTTACCTGCCAGTTCTCATGGTTCAGGTCCATGTAAACAATGCTGTATCGAGTTTTTCTTTAATATCCATGCAATTAAGGTGATATTTTTATGATTAAAGTAGGATCTGTCGCTCTTAGTAATATTGTTATCTAACTTATGCTCCTGCGATACTTTGTAACCATCCATTTTTTATTTAATCCCCTCACATCTGCATTGATGAAAATGAATATGCAGGGGAAGGAAGAACTAGTGATCCGTTGCAAAATCCAACGGGCCAAGAATTAGTGGCTATAAATATTCAACCTCAAACCTTGCATAATTTCAGGCTCTAAAAGAATTCTCCAATCCTAAAAAATTCTGCTGTTTCTCTGTTGAAATCTTCCAAACAGTAGTTAGATCTGAATGCAACTTTAGCTTTGAATTAAGACCTGGAGCCTAATTCATTAGAAGTAGCTTAGAGCTTTTCTCAAACTTTCCGGGAAAATTCAATGACCAAATATGTGGTCAACCTCCTCTTCTCCATCTTCTCCTAGAACATCATTTGGGGTGATGTGAATTTTGGGCTACGTTTCTCGAACTCTATCATCTTGTGGTTATGATCCTCTCAAAGGCTAGGGACCAAGGCTAAGAATACAATTTTAGCATTTTTGCTTTCTCTCCAAAACACAGGTTCATAAATTGTTGAGTAGGTTGATAAATTGTTAAAGGTACCACAGATCCATCTTCTACTCGCAAATCCAATCTTCTTTGTCTCGGCCCCAAGTCCTCAAGATGCTTCAGAAGAGCTCCAGAAGACTGTAATTTATGATCGATCATTGTGAACTGAAATAATATAGTTGCTTGAATCCTCAATGTATGTTATGGTGTTCTTGGTTTACCAATATAAATTTCAAAATCATGCATAGTGGTAAGTTTATTGGTATTGCTATTTTTTTTTGTAGGTGCACAAACTTGGAATGGAAGCCAGAATATTTTCATTAATAGTTCTTTCCTTTTTATCTGTTCTCCTTATAGCACAAGGAGAATATATAAAATTATGATGTTGCACTATTTAAGATTTTCTTTACACCGAAGACTGGAGTAGTTGCCTTGGCTTTTATGCTTAACAATCTTGTTTTTGATCTGATAAACATGGTCGTGAACTATTTATCAAATTTTCAGGTTGCCATGTGCTAAAAGGAAACTGTCTATTGTTCCTCAGAAAAAATGGCCTGCGCTGCACAGGAAATACTGAAAATGATAGCTTATCCTTCTCTTCCTTCATCATTTTCCTGCTGCTCGCCGATTGTGTAGACAGCAATGTCTATCTATTCTCGCATTTATTGCTTCGGGCTGCATTAACATCATTACATGGAAATTAGAACAATTTTCAAACTCAATACCTTTAAGTTGATGACATCATTGAAGCTCCCATTTCTTCGTCCTACAATGAATTGAAAAGTCTGCTTTTATGAAATTGCTGAATGCAGTTGGGAGCTCTACCAATATATCCTGAGAATTCTCAATGGGGTGTGAGTGGAAAAGAAAAGAAGGTGAATTCTGCAGTCAGTCTGTTGGGTCAGCAGAGTGGCGGCTTATATCATAGCCGACGAGATTGCTTTTGGCCTTGGATAAATGAGTGGTGCTCATTTATAAAAGACAAATTATTTTGAATAGCACTCTCTATTATCGTGAACTTGCGTATTTCCAGTGTTTGGATTGCCACATGGGTGGTCTTTTGATGCAGAGACATTCAAGAGAAACTGACTGGGAAGATTATATATCCTTTCATTTCCCAACATTATTTACTATTAACATATATAGATGTTTTATTTTACATTCAGGTAACAGGTAGGAGCGTGATGGATTTTGAATGGCTTAAATGTGCCAACATCAATTTTTGGATGGTGGGTAGCCTAGCTTTGAGCTGAGCTTTCGAAGACAAATTTCTGTAATTTAAAGATGGCTGGAGCATAATCACTGTCTTTACTCAATATGTGTCCTTTCATCTCTTGGCATTGTTTACTATTAACATTTATAGATGTTTCATTTCACATTCGGGTGTAGGCAACAAACAGTCTAAGAGAGCGACGGATTTTGAATTGCTAAAATGTGGCAATACTCTACAGGGGGACTAATTTGTGGATGGTGGGTGGCCTAGCTTTGAGCTGAGATGAGCTGAGCTTTCATAGACAAACTTCTGTAATCCAAGGGGACAGACCAGTAAGCAGAGACTTAAAAATGAAAGAACAAAGTTTCGTCTCTATGGTCCACTACCGAAAATAGGGCAACTAAAGTCAAATCCATCCTACTTCGTGCCCGAAAGTAGAACCGTATGTCCTGGACTTGGACCACTCCGTAACTGAGTTGGAAAACAATTCTCTACTTGCGTGGATTTTTCTGTTGATACACAGCCTCAGGATTTGGATTGAATATAGGTGGTCCAATCATATTCATCTTTAAGTCTGGTTTCATTTTCCCCCAAAATATATAAGACAAAATCTCAAGTTTGGTCTTTCAATCTTGTGGTGGCTTGTGTAGCCTAGATATTAGGAAGTCGTGAAAATGTTGTTTTCTGCCATAAATATTACTGGGAAACTGACATTTACGGGCTCTCATGTGGGAAACATTTTCCTCTTTCTTTTCATTTTATGGCACGTCTTTGATTAAGAGGCTCTGGCATCCCCTAAGTACTTGCCTTTTGCTTCCAACTTTCTCATCAGCTGTCTATTTCTTGGATCTCTGTGGGTTCCGAGTAAATATTTCGGTAACTCTTTTCTTGTAATCAGCTGTTGGTAGATATTGTCTACGTTGATCTGTTACGTATCGTCATCAGCCTTAATTTTGAAACACGTCTATTAAGGAGATGTTTTCACACCCTTGTAAGAAATGTTTCGTTCTACTCTCAAATCGATATGGGACCTCGCATTAACTATGAAACTGACAGTGGTCTATCAATAAATTCAATTCATATTATATTATTTACATGGAAAATGTTGGCTTCCAAGTAATTTTTAATATTTAGTTGACAATCAAATCTAAGTATAAGTTTGGAGTTGGTGGGTGGTGGGGATTTCTTTGTCAATACACAATGTTCTAACTCATTCCACCTGAACCTTGATGTGGCATTCAGGTTACCCAATTTGAACCAATCCATCTAATTCATCGCCCCATTCTCTATTTCTTTATTTTTGGAAAAAAAAAAAAAAAAATCTTTGGTCGATTCTTATGCTTTCAAAAGTTATAATATTACTTTTGACCTTCCAATATTATTTCAAAACTACCATTCGAAGTGAAGGCCGAAATGGGCATTCGAAAACTGCCTGATAAGGGTTGTACAAGGGATTGAGAAAGGAGTTTTTCTTTTCATGTTTGATTCCGCCTTTAGAATCGTTACATTGTTTGACTGAACTCGTTACAATCTAAAAAATGAAATAAAATTTTGGTCAGTTGATTGAGGACATTGCTAGTACTTTAAAGGTTTGTAAAAAGAAAAATATTATAAGTTGATTTAGGAATAAAAATTTGATCCTTGGGAGAGGGCTCCATGTTGTGTGCCCAAAAGACGCAACTGGGTAGCGAAATGGCCCACTTGGGTTGGCAGACGCAACTCTTCTAATACAGAATTGGCTTAGGAGAACTCTTGTGGTCTGCTGTTTACTCCCACATCTCACATGATTTTGTTTTCATTCTTCTTCTTATTCTTCCTCTTAAATACCTCTTTAATCTCTCCATTTTTTTTCAAGTTCAAACTCAATCCCTCTCTCTTTCTCTCATCACCATCAGTCATAGACACGAACACATACTCCTACAATAATACAACATGGCTATCAAAAAGGGTAATCTACTTCAGCCCTCTGCCTCCATCAGACACATTCTCAAAAGATGTTCAAGCTTCGGCAAGCGAAATGGCTGCAACGACGATGGCCTCCCCGACGACGTGCCGAAAGGCCACTTCGCAGTCTACGTCGGAGAAAACCGAAGCCGACACATTGTCCCCATTTCCTGGCTGGCTCATCCACAGTTCCAGAGCCTGCTGCACAGAGCAGAGGAGGAGTTTGGTTTCAACCATGACATGGGTATCACCATCCCTTGTGAAGAGGTTGTTTTTCGCTCCTTAACAGCCATGATCAAGATCACATGAGCTCAGACCAACCCATAAACAGATCGGGATTCTTTTTTTCTTTCTTTCTTTCTTTCAAGTTGCTTGAATCTTGAATGGAAAAGGAATTGGAAGGAGCTAAATTTGCCCTCCTCCATTTGCTGAACTTCTTTTCTAATCATTTATGTTCTTCATGAATCTATCATTATTAATACAGGGAAAGAAGTTGCAGGCTTCATCATCTGTTCATACTTTACTTACACTCCATAATTTGGACTTACAACATCCAAAATATTTAGCTTTCATAACTATCTTAAACAACCCAGAACTTAGAAAGCAATGCAAATTCGAATAGTTAGCTCAATACCACTAATTCTTTTATGATTGGCTCGTATCAATTTGAGAGATTATTGAGTTGGCCCGATGAAATGAGAAGGAATAAGTTTTATGATCTAAACTCGTTTTGAGTTGGTCGGGTTTGATAGCGATTTCATTTTTAGTAATAGAATGCACATGGGAGAGGGGCTGGGGATGTCCACACATGGTGGATCATTCTACCAAACACTGCGTATTGTATACCTTCCGTGCTTTGGTTAGCCGCACAATATGACTTTTATCCTCCCTTGATTATTGGCTAATTAAGTGTGGTTTTGTCATCTTTCATTGATTTACATCATTTTAATTTTATGACTATGGGATGCTTACGTTTCAAAGAAAGGGATTATGAGCTAATTTCGGTGCTTAATTACGTTGAGACAAACTTCATCACATGACAAACACACTGTTCACATATAAAATTAATTAATTTTGTCTTCATCGCCCTTTATTTATTTATTATTATTTGCATATCTTACCCAATTTTTAGACAATCAATCATTTTTTGTTTTAATTCTTCAAATTTGTTTTTTTCTTTTTAACTTTATTTTTTAATAAATTCATTTTTATCTAATAAGTTGTTTTTTTTTTTTAATATAAATATGTATCTAATAAAATTTTGGGAGAAAAATGTATTTTCACATTTGATGATGTGAAACATACGTAAGAGATAATATGAGGCTATAAAAGTTCAAAAAGAAAACACGGGAAATGAGATAAGGTAAGATAAGGTAATCACACTGAATAGTAATATTACTATTCAAAGTTTATGTTACCATTATTAGCCATATATTTATTTTTTTGGTTTTTCTTCAAAAATATTTTTTATTAACAAAAATAAAATAAGATATTGATAACTACGATAACACAATAGATAGTTGTAAGTTTAGGACAACATTTTTCGAAACCAAGCCTTCTGTTTCTTGTGGTAGTAGTTCGGAGACCATATATCTGTTGCAGGAAAATTGGGTTGATGTAGGCCACACCCTAATGAAAGGAAGACTCAATATTAGCACGTGGGTTCGATTTTAGGGCCTTATATACTAATATTAAAATTCTTTTAGAATCTTTTTGATGATTGATACGAGAATAATTTAATGGATAAGATAATAATTATTATTTTTTTAGAAGTTAATATTATTGAATTAAAATTAGAAAAAATCAAATAAAATATTTTAATATTAATACTTTGTTGGAAATTTTCGTAGAATAAATTATATAAAGGTATTCTAAAAATAATTATTACAAAGTTCAAATTATAAAAGAATTAACTTGTCAGGCTTTATTTGCTTCCTTCCAATTGTTGGGCCGATAGTCTCGAAAGGCCCAAAAAAGTTGGGCCTCGTCTACGTGGCGGATTGCAGAGTGGGACAGTGAGTTTCAGTTTGATGTGATATAAATTCGTCTCAACCCTATGTTCTTTCTAATATCGGTGCGGTAGTGTACTAAAACTCTCCAATCTCACGGAGTCGCCATGGGAAGAGTCATTCGTGCTCAGCGTAACGGAGCTGGGTCCGTCTTCAGGTCCCATACACATCATCGGAAGGGCCCGGCCAGGTTCCGAAGTCTCGATTTCGGGGAACGAAATGGTTATTTGAAAGGAGTTGTCACTGAGATCGTTCACGACCCAGGCCGTGGAGCGCCGCTTGCTCGAGTTTCCTTCCGCCATCCTTTCAGGTACAAGAAACAGAATGAACTGTTCGTTGCAGCTGAAGGTATGTACACTGGCCAATTTTTTTGTGGTCGGAAATGTCCTGCCGATAAGATCGATCCCTGAAGGTGCTGTCGTCTGCAACGTTGAACACCATGTCGGTGACCGTGGTGTTTTTGCCAGGTGCTCGGGAGACTACGCAATTGTTATCAGTCACAATCCTGGTAACGACACTTCCAGGTTTGGCGATGATTTTTGTTGAGTCTGTCTAATTCGTTTGATCTCATATAGAAGCCTAATTTGTTTTACCGTTTTTCTTCGTTGTTTTGCGTTAGTTTTATGTCATTGTTGCTCCAACATAGTTAACAATTCTATTGACTACTTCGTTTCTAGGCTTGGAATTTGAGAATCAAAGACAATGATTCATTTCTGTTGCTAAATTGAATTGATATTTGTTGCTAAATTGCTTGTTTCATCTTTTTTGTTCAGATTTTTTTAGTGATTGGTAATAAACAGATACATTCCTCAGATTTCTGGCATTTGATTCTAGCTTGTATTGATTCATTCAACATTTTTTCCCCATTTTCACTTGAAGAACTATGTTCATCTCTTGATTATTACCATCAGGATCAAGCTTCCATCTGGTTCAAAGAAAATAGTTCCAAGTGGGTGCCGAGCCATGGTCGGGCAGGTTGCAGGTGGAGGTAGGACTGAGGAGCCCCTTCTTAAGGCTGGTAGTGCATACCACAAATTCAGAGTGAAGAGGAACAGCTGGCCTAAGGTTCGTGGTGTTGCAATGAACCCGGTTGAGCTTCCTCACGGAGGAGGTAACCACCAACACATTGGACATGCCAGCACTGTCAGGCGGGATGCACCGCCTGGTCAGAAGGTCGGTCTCATTGCTGCAAGAAGAACTGGTAGGCTCAGAGGACAAGCTGCAGCCACTGCCGCTAAATCTGATTAGGGAACCAACTTCGACATTACCATAATTTAAGTTGTCAATTCGTTGTGTTAGGCCATTTCATTTTTCTTCCCTCCATCGGAAGAATTATTTATTTATTTAGTTATAAGCTCTGAACGGTTTATTATTTACTTTTTAAAAATGCCACCTCGGTAATCTAGTAAATGTTTTATTTGAGGCGGATTGAGGGAGACATTATTTTTTAGACAAAAAAAAAAAAAAAAAAAAAAAAAAAAAAAAAAAAAAAAAAAAAAAAAAAAAAAAAAAAAAAAAAAAAAAAAAAAAAAAAAAAAAAAAAAAAAAAAAAAAAAAAAAAAAAAAAAAAAAAAAAAAAAAATTACTAAAAATATATTTGATATATTTATAGTAACTTAAAAATGGGCCTAATCATTTGATTGGGCCTGGGCTTTAATGTTCTAGCGGGCTGCGGGCCATAAGGCCCATGCTGCTCAATTTTCGAGCCCATGAATGCTAAAATGAAGATTCAAGTGCTCGAACAGCTCTGACCGCATGTGTTGCAGACAGCAATGGCGCTTTTGCAGACCACAATTTGCCTTCGCATTTTCACAATCCTCTTCTTCCTCTTCTTTCTCCTGTCTGGGAAATCTTGTTGTATCAGAACCCCGAATCGGATTGCGGACTCTAACAAGATTCCGTCAAGCCATCACTCCTTGAAAACGGCAGTCTTCGCTTTGGGATGTTTCTGGAGATCGGAAGCCGTCTTTGGTTGCTTGGATGGAGTCGTCCGGACCACCGTCGGCTACGCCGGTGGTACTAAACTGAATCCTGAGTATCGTAGCTTGGGTGATCATGCCGAGTCTGTCCGGGTTCGGGTTCTTACCTTCTCTTCTCCTTTACATTTCTTCTTTTTCTGATTTCTTAATCTTCATTTTTTACTTTGTGAATTTTCTGTATTCTACATTTCGGATAATGTTTGTGCCATCATTACTTCGGTAGATCCCGTCTATACGTTTGGTTCTATTGTATATTTACCTTTTCAATCTCGTTTTGCTTCGTTGATCGGATTTGTATTTTGTTTTCTTGAAATTCTCCTTATGCGAAGCAGGAATGAGGTTTAAATTGCCTGACATTTGGTATCATGTCACATTTTGAGGGGAGCTTATATCGAATTTGTTTGTCACAGATCTCTGATGTGCAAATGGATTAAAAAATCCTGTTTTCTTTCTTGTCGACGATTTGTCAATGTTCTTCTTTTCTGGAATAGGAATTGTTCATAACTTCAAAATAAACTGTCTATTTATGCACCTACGACCCACCTTTCAGTCAAGACATTCTTCACTTACATGCATTGAAATTGTTAAAGTGAGGCTGTATGTTCTGTATAATTTTAAAATCAACTGTGACTTCACTTAATCCTAGATAGGTTGACGTGTCTTTTCTATTGTAGTGATGCAATTATTTGGGGGACTTGCCCCCTATGATCGGTGCTTGATCTTTAGTTATCGTTGATGCATCATTTGGAGAGGCCTCGCCCTAGCTTTGTGTTCTATGTAATTTCATACACAATGACGAAAGAATCTTCTTTCAAGATACAAATTTCGAATCATATAGTGATATATGATTATTGAGATTCATAAAAAAAAAAAAATTAATTGTTGGTTTCATTACATTACATGTGTGTTTTAATGGGACTGATTATTTGTCACATGCTTTGTAATTCATTTCAGGTCGAATATGATCCCAAGCTTACTAGTTTCAGGCAACTCTTAGAGGTTTTTTGGTCCAGTCATGATTCTAGGCAAGTGTTTGGACAGGGTCCTGATGTGGGCAACCAGTATAGGTACAGTCTAAATTCTAGCTCATGGTTTAAACAGAATTAACCTTTGATAATGGTATTATTTACTCCCTTGTATCAGATCTATCATTTTTACTAATGGCACCGAAGAATCTAGACTGGCTGCTGTCAGCAAAGAAAAAGAGCAACTGAAGTCGAGAGGAAGCGCTGTAACTACACAAATTCAGGAACTTGGAGCATTTTATCCTGCTGAGGCTGAACATCAGGTTGATATCATTGATTAACATGATTATTTGAAGCAATTATCTGGCGAAATTTCATGTTTTAAGATTTCCTGCTTCTTGACATACAACTCACCTAGAAATGTTGCAGTTCAGATAGATTGAGATGTCTTTGGTCTTTTGCTACTTTGGTTAATTGCTACCCATATCCCCATTTTTCCTATTTGATGCTCAAGTAAGCTTAGGATGTCGTGGCCTTTGAAGATGAAGTGCATCATAGCTTCAGAATGAATGGCCCATCTTCTGAGAACTGATTTTTTATTTTTTGAAATTTTGCTCCAGACCTTTGTAGCTAAAAAATGGAATCGTTGACATTACATGTCGAATCTCACTCACACTGTATATTTACTCGCAGAAGTTTGAGCTGAAGAGGAATCCCTTTTTTCTTCAATTAATGGGCAACTTGCCAGAAGAGGAGCTTGAGATGTCCACTTTGGCAGCAAATATGAACGGGTACGCCGCAGACCTCTGTCCTCCGAAGACTCAGAAGCAAATTGATGCCAAGATCAACGACATTATTAAAAAAGGATGGCCCATTCTGAGAGAAAAATAGGTTCATCTTCGTGCAAAGCTCTAGCTTGGATAGCATTGCATCAGTTTGTTTTCTTGTTACGGCTGGTGGATCATTCTTAAGGTTGCTGAAGCCCACCACATTGTTTGGATCATTGATTGAATTTCCTCCCTCAGCTAGCTTCAATTTTATGTATCTACAAATTTCATTCTTTCTTTCAAATCCATTATGTAGATTGAATGAATACCCATTACCAATTGGGATTCTTCCATTCTTTAAAACCTTCGCTTCCCCCATCTCGTGTCAAGGAACTGAGCTGTATTTATATCACATTTTTAAAGTACGTTGATTCAGAAGAGAGCGAATGAGTGATAGCCTTGACTTGTGATTTGACCTTTTCTTTTCTAGTCCATATATTTTAAGTTTTCAATGGACACACTATGAATGAAAAATCTTGTTTTCTTTGAAAACAATTACATAAGGTTAATTTGGTCTTTAATATTTTATATTACTCAAAATTTGGTTCTTAAGTTCTTAATAAATACTTTCATAAAAAGATTGGAAAATTTTATTGATAAAAAGTTTTGTGTTTTATTAAATTAATAACATATTATAAAGAGCTTAATTTTACTTGATAAACGGGTTAAGTTTTATGTGTTTAAGTAGTACGCAAATGACATGAACATACCTAAATATAATAAAATGATAATGAGAATTTTTAAACATTAAATATAAATGCAAACTGATAATTACCTAAAAAATTGAGAATTTATTTGACAGAATTAATGAACTCAAAGGTACTCCAAAGAATTTACATTCATGCTGAAGGATTGATTACAACACATGGAGCCATTTATCCGAGCTAATCTCAAACAACCAACCACCAACAAATAATCCCAAATTCAAAATCCCCCCTTTGAAATCCTGTTGAAATTCTTCCTGATGTCCTAAAAATTAACACAAGATATCCCTTTGGCCTCAAAAAGGACATGGTTTTCCTGCTTGAACAAGAAAACTTCTGAATGGTGAAGCATAAACCCAATTAAGTCCTCCCTGTTACTTCACCACACAGTTTCATTCTCTTAGCGTTTTGATTCTGAAGTGGAATATCATGTTTGAATTGGCAATTAACGCCATTTCGACACCCCTTTGGGCCATTAAAATAAATGCATTGTTTCTGAATCTTGGGTTTCAAGTTTTCTGCTTTCATCTCATGTACCATATTCAGATTATGATGATTGTGATTGCCATCTTGTCCAAGTTTATGTTTCTTAAAGTCCCTCTGATCTCCATGTTGTCTTACTAAGTTCTTATAGTAGCTAAGATCCTTCAATTGCTGAGCTTCTTTTCTCACTGAACTAACTGGCGCCCTGTTAGCATACATCGGAATCGAACCGATTTTAGAATAGATCCCGGCATTCGGTACGTTCATTTTTACGTTGTTGGGATCTGAAACCGGTAAGTGGCCTGGGACTGCAACAAGATTTACATCGGCTGTAGGAATGCTACTCATCTGAGGAGCAGTGGTGACCGTGGATGGGAATCCATTGGACACTTTCAATATGCTTCCATTTGAGCGGTTTGGTATCGAAATGGATGTTGTGAGAGGCGAAGAAACTGATTCACTCACTGGTGGCTTTGATAAAGCACCAGTGGCGATGGGTGGGCTCCCTGAGACTGCTACAGATGCAGGGTGAATGTTGGACAAATTCTGGATCATTTTTGGATCACTGAAAATTTTAATAAGCAAATTCGTGTCGATCATGCTTCCCTGCTCCATACTTTTCGTCAATACTGTAAATGCGGTAGAGGCAGCAGCAGCAACATCCACACCAACATCAGGCAACTTATCAGCAGATGTTTCAGTGGTGCTTGCGGGGATTGAACGTTCCAACGAACAGTTGGAAGCCATCGGCATTGAGCTCGTAGAGAAGTTTACTGGGGCAGCTGAATCTGATCCTAAATCTTCGCACTCATCTTCTTCAATAGGAATGATAGGGACATGAGGAGTGAGGCTATCATCATAAAGCTCATCTTCAATATCAGTCGAAACGGTCGCACTACAGAGCAAAAGAAAGAGGAAGAGGGAAATTATTGGATAGGTTAATGTGTTAACACAATAATATGAAGCTTCAAAGTTAATGTGAAGAAACAAAAGAATGAAATTACCCTGGAGGAATAGCAGATGATCGAGGATAAACTGCTTCTAGCAATCTCATTTCTCTCAATTTCTGAGATTCTACCTCTCTACTTTCCTCTCCTGCTGCCACACACCAGTTGGAATTCATAACAAACTGTACAGAGAAAAATGGTATAGCAATTTTGACATATTGGAAGAGGTGAAAATGTTTACACATCAGTAGAAGACGCAAGCAAACATACATCACATACCCACTAAAATGGGTTGGAATTCTGTGAAGTGAACAGAAATATCAAATAGGGCTCACCTGGAGAGGGCATTTCCACTTGATCAAAGAAATGCCAGACAGATCAGCTGATTGGCTTCCCGAAGGAGTAAACTCAAATCCAGGCGGGCAATCATTAAATTCAGCAGTATAAGGATGCAACATCCAGGGAGTTTTTGCTTGGAGATGATCTAGAGATTTCTGGCCTACTTTAGAAGGGCAGTCCTCTGATGAGAATAGCTTCACCTATTCAAAACAATAATCATTCACTTTAATTCCAAATATCAAGGTACTTAAATTTGCATGAGCCAGAAGGACGGGGAAAATCCCGAGACAATAACTCTTGCAACCTAATGGAAAGCTAAATAAGCAAGGAAAACCATTGAACTATTTAGTATCAACATCTGTTTAATCACTCTGCAACGTCCAATTATAACATTGTGCAACATTCCAAGCATCAAAAGTTGCATGCAAGTACACATCAAACCAATTTCACAGGTGAAATCATCAATCAATATCCTGCAGCACCCAGTTAAGGTATTGTATTGCCTCCAACAATGGCGTACTCAAGCAAGTACATTGACACTCTCAGAATCACAATAAGTGAACCAGAATGTGTTCATATAATGTTAAAAATGTGCATTCAATGACAAAAGAATATTTTCAGGAAAAAAAGTGACAATGACAAAAGAATGTAGGATGAAAATGGTGCTGCAGCCATATGCTCTGAGATCACAAATCATATGGTCTCAGGTACATAAGAATGAAAAAGGTTGGTTTATACCTCTGGCAATCTGATTAAATAAAAAACAACACTTATAAATGAATAAGTTTTTCTTAAACCGGAAATGAGTGGCCTTGATATCTCCATTTTGAGCTTTGTTTTTGCCTCCCTGCTGCATCTCCAAAGAGCAGAAGTCTGCAGCAGGTGGCTAGCAACCAAGAATGGTTGATTGATACATCATAGTAATTAACCAAAATCCAAGTCCTCCAAGAAAACTGATCATTAAAAGACCCTCAATTGGATTCTTTCTACCAAATGAAAGAAAGAGACAAAAGAAGTATGACATGGTTGGGTTTCTTCTACATCTGTTCATTTGACAGATGAAGCTTCAATTCTCCTATATAAGGTATGACAGGTTCCAATTTTAATTCTTTTTGAAGTAATACAAAAATTCCATTAGTATTTTAAGATTTGAGTAATGATTTCTTAGCAAATACTTTGTCGTTTTTTCTTCTTTTATTAATTTATTTTTGGGATTCCTGATCATGAGCAAAAACTTGCAGTTTATTAGTACAAGGATTATTCTGTTAATATTTGGTCGCCAAAGCTTTTGTTGTACAATAGTACTTGAAACTATAACCTGAATCAGATTGTTATTTTTATCAAACCATATCTTCTTTATTACCATCGTATCTTCAAAGCTTCCATAAATTTCTAGTTCTGACATTTAAGAACTTTCTCAGATCGTTCAAACGGACTGCGGTTGTTTTAATTCCGTAAATGTGAATTAATAATGTGTTAATAATTTATAGCCCGTGTTCGCTCGCACAGGGAGAATGATTATTTGTTCACAATCTTAATTACTTAATCCACCCGGCGAGCGATAATAATTAGTACTTTTTGTAATTAAGATGACGAATTCATTAGCAGCAAACTGTTGTTAATTGTTCCCAAGTTTTGGAAAAAAATCATTGTGCCAAAGAGAAGTATTTCTATAACTCTCTAAACGACCTAAACTGATATTATCAAATACATCAACGAGAAAGCGTCAACTTAAAATCAACCAAGGAAAATGGATCGATTAGAGCTTAAATTTGTTAAAAGATATATTAATTTTGATGATTTTGTAAGGAAACCAGACTTCGATTATAAGATGTTACGATTATACCTGACAAAGATTAACTCCATGAGCCCACGAAACACGCACTGATTTCCTCGACCGCTTCATCTCTAAATCTCAGATCAAAGACGAGACGCTCAAACTCAAAATCGTTTCGCCTCAAAACTACCACTAATGTTCCAGATTATAAAGCATATAACCAAACAACCGATCGGTACTTACAAATGAAGATTTGTTTATCTGAAAAACCTCAATCTTAAGGTGGATCCGATTGTAAGGTTCTGGTTCAGAAACTTAAAATCGAGATTCAAGACGATGAAGAAAAAAGAATGAGAAAAAGAAGTAGACGAATGGAAATGGGAGAAGGAAATGAGACGCTGCAAAAGAGGTAGCCCTAATGACCCACTCTATTCCTCCCTATTTCTTAAGTAATGACGCTTATATTTCTTCCCTAATTTTTTTTTAGGTTACAAAATTGAAAATACAAGGTGTACAGGGTCGGGTTGATTGATAACCCAACCCAGTCTAAAACTTTTCACAACTCAACTCCAAAATCAACAATTTATAATTATTTAGATAGAATATTAGATGAAATATATAAAAAGTTAACCAACAAACACAAATCAATCTATAAATATTCACCCACAAAAAACTAATTCAATAAAAAACAATAAGCGAAATTGGTAACATATTAACATAGTTTAACATTATCATAAAACTAAAACAACTAAATACCCACTATTTCTTGAGAATTGGTTAAAATAACAAAATATGAGGATAGATCATCGAATTAAATAAACAATAAAAATGATTAATAACAAAACTAAAAAATATATAAAAATATTTTAATTGAAATATGTTATTTATCTCTAAAGTTCTAAACTATTAAAAAAAATAAAAAATAAAAAAATATATAAATTGTGATATAATAATATTGCTTTTAGAATATATTTTAAAATTAAAAATAATATAAATAATTATTTCTAACAGTAATAAATTATTTAATTTTCATTTCTTATTAGTTACCACCATCGTCAAAAATCACCAATCCCACAAAAAAATGAATCAACTCTTATATTATCAATGATGGCATTTGACAATTTATACTGACTTTGGTGTACAAGGAGTTTAAACACAACTAAAATGCAAGTGACAATAGAGAAAAATGATAATAGACAAACGACATCCACGAATACAATGAACTAGTCACATGACTTCGTCAACTCCAATAATGATCTCATGAAGGATGAAGGAACGCTAAGGTTGGAGAAGGGGACAAATTCTAGGGAGGGTGATTCCAGATACACTAGCTGTGGAGAATTGAAAGACAAATCAAGTTTGAGACGAAGAAGGAATAAAAATAATAATATACCAATAGTCCCTGTGAGATTCCCCATGAATAGGAAGAGGGAATGAAATTACAAGAGTCAAATCTATTTTAAAACTATGAGGCTAGTAGCTACAAGTAACTAGACAAAGTGGACAATATTTGTTGGTGGTGGACTTGGACTTTTACAAATGGTCTTAGAGTCAAACACTGAGCGGTGAGCCAGCAAAGACGTGAGGATGTTGAACCCCCAAGGGGTGGATGAACGGTTAAAAATGGTATCATTGTGCCAATGAGAACGCAACTACTTTGGCCCTCCAAGGTGGATTGTGAGATCCTACATCTGTAGGCAGAAAAAACGTAAGGATGTTGGGCCTCTAAAAATGTGGATTATGAGATCTTGCATCAATCGGTAGCAAGAGCACGAGAATGTTGGGTCTCCAAAAAAATGAGTTGTGAAATCTCACCTGGTCTGTTTGCTCATAGAACACTAGAAAGTGTTCCATTTGTAAACCATTATCTATAACTGACCCATCATTCGAATCTCCAACTTTTTTTCCTTCAATTTGTTGAAAATGGCTGGGAATTAGTGAAAGCAAATTCCATTTAATTGGCACTTAAAATTAACACAGAAAACACAACCTCTCTTCATTTTATGTGCATGAAAATGCAAGCAAAAAACAAACCCCGGTTTGTATTTATCCAAATCAACGTCTCCTTTCAGGATTTTGATCTCGTAATAACGACCCGTTTTCCTCCACGTGTGCGCTCCAGATCATTTTTTTCTCCAACTTGGCTATCCATGTCCACTTGAATTGGCCAATCAGAGTTCGTACTTCCCTCCACATCCAGATTCTTCTTCCCCTATAAATTCCTCGGTGTATCAATTCGTTTCCAGCATATTCGTTAAGCGTTTGGTTCTCGTTCTGTAATTTGTGGAAATTTTGATCATGTCGTCGACTGGGGAAACTGAAGTGAAAGTTCCGGCGGAGGATGCTCCTTCTGCGGAGGTTCCGTCTGCGGAGGAGCCGAAGGAGGCCGAGAAGCCGGTGGAGGAGAAGAAATCTAGGACTCCGAGGGAGAAGAAGCCTAGGCAGTCTAAGGTGGCTTCACATCCACCGTACTTTCAGGTAATTTAGTCCGTTGATGTTTTGATTACAGCGTGACGAGTTCGATTCTGTTGACCTTTTGATTATAGCGCGACGAGTTTGATTCTGTTGATCTTTTGATTATAGCGTGACGAGTTTGATTCTGTTGATCTTGATTGAATCGAGTCTTTATTCTGATGAATTGCGATGTATTGGTTGTGATTGTGTTGATTTTGCAGATGATCAAGGAAGCAATCACGTCGCTCAACGAGAAGAATGGATCGAGTCCGTACGCCATAGCCAAATACATGGAGGAGAAACACAAGGAAGTTCTTCCAGCAAATTTCAGGAAAATCTTGGCGCTACAATTGAAGAATTCGACCGCTAAAGGAAAGTTAAGGAAGATCAAGGCTTCGTATGAGCTATCCGAAGCGGGAAAGAAAGACAAGAAGGCTTCGAAGGTCGCAAAAGCGAATGCAGAGAAGAACACCAAACAGGCAAGAACTACTAGAGCTACTGCAGGGAAGAGGAAGGACGAGGCAGCAAGTAAGACGGCGAAGGCGGTGAAGAAGGTTGTTGCAAAGAAACCGAAAAGAACTACTCCGGCGAAGCCAAAGCAGCCGAAATCAATTAGGTCCCCTGCTGCTAAGAGGGCAAAGAAAGCGGTTGCGTGAACGTAGAATCGAACAACTTGTCTTCGATTTCTCTCTTGTGAATATCTTGCCTCCGAATTACGATCATGTAGTTTGTAAATTCTTGGTCCTATGATCTTGTAGTCTTTGCTTTAACTGCAATGGAAATAAATCCTTTCTTGCTCAGAGACTCAATAAACTGAAATAGAAGAAACAGACATTCGCTTCTGGATGTTTCTCTTACGATTCACACAGATTGCCATTAAAGAACTGGTTGAATCTCAGCCTTTCGATTCGAGACACATGGCTCAGGATTGGTGATGAATGAGAAAGAAGAATCTCAATGGAAACCCACAGATTTACATCATTATTCGTCGCGTCGTTTGATTTGAATCAATCCCAACCATGGCCTATGGTTTTGATTTTCTCCCTCTTGATTTAGGATTTTTTTAAATCAATCCCGAGTCTTTTATGATATCTTAGAATAATTAAACACATTTTAATTGACAAAGTTGCAAGAACAAGGAAATAAGCCCTAAAAATAGCCGTAATTTCAATGAATTTGTCAGAGTTATTCCAATTAAAAAATTAATTAAAAAAAATGAGAGGATCAATCTTATTCGGGCCGAGTTTGGTAGGACGGCCCATTTTCGTATGCTTTTGTCCCTATAAACCCGTGCTTCACAATTTATTTATTTTTTTATTTTTTTTATTTCCGAAAGGTAAAATTGGAACCAACCATAGATCAAAGTATCTTTTAAAAAAAATGAGCGTAAACAAAATTTAATCCTTAAAAAAAAACGAGAAATAATAATAACGACTGTGCGGTACTTGTGCTAACTTGGTGAACAAGCCAACCGCATGGAAGTCAAGCTTTGCGGACAACCTTGACGTAGGATTGAATCTCAAGTCACGTTTGAAAAAAATATTTTAAAAAACTTGAGCGAGAAAATGCGTTTAAAGCAATTAAAAAAAAATCAATGTAAGTAACCAGTGTAGGTCCACAACTTTGATACCATATAACTCAAGTAGGAAAAGTTGACAACTAGACACATCTCGCAATAGTACATTTTAGACATGATTTTGTTGACCATATCCGGGTAGTGACACAACAATAGTAAATGACTATTGAACATGAAAGCATGTAAGAGAGGTTTGAAATAGGCATGAGGCAATAGACAGCACGTCCTGGACCAGTATGACCGAAACATCCAACACACAATCACAAACAATGCACTTTAGACAAACATGATCGTGAAATGTGGCATCAACCAATTATTTTACTTCAAAAACATTCTCCTAGACCTGTCGTTTTTGTCAACTTTTACACTCATTGCTTGTTTTGCTTTCTTGTTTCCTTCCTCTTTTCATTTGCAGACACCAGTTTGTACACAATTCTAGTCTTTTTATTTGCTTTCATAGTCATCTCTCCTAACCCACAATTCATTCCCGACTGTTATACTATGTTGAGGATGGTTTATATTCAGATTTAGATTATGTTGTTTGGATGGGATTCGTATGTTGTGCTTACGAAGAATGCTAAAGAACAGGATAAGAGAGTGTAAGTGGATGGTGAAAGGGGAGAGGAAAATAAGCCAAAAGGGAAGAAGAGAGGACCATTGAGCCCACTGGAAAGACTGTAAAAAGACAACGTAAGACATGCGTTTTTGTCCATTCAGGAACCGCCCTCCGACACAAACTGCACACCTCAAACTTCAAACTTGTCTTGCTTTCTTTTTCAGACACACAAAACCATGCACTCACCCACCAACTACCTCTCCCTCTCTCTCTCTCTCATATAATGTAAGTTCATGTAAACAAGTAATAAACGATACACATTAAGCGGTGTACCAGGGAAGACGTTGAGCATCAAAGGGGGTGGATATCGAGTGGTATGTCAGTGAGAACGCTAGGCTCCAAAGGAGGTGAACACCGAGCATTATGCCAGAAAGAACCCTAGGTCCTAAAATGGGTGGATTATGAAATCCCAAACGAAACATTTTTCTAGAAGGGCATGAAAATCTCTCCCTAGTAAACACATTTATTGAGAGAAAGCTTGAAAAGAAAAGTCCAAAGAAGACAATATCTGATAACGTGGTTCGCTCATTCATATCATACAAAAATAGATGATAGAGATATGATCTCAAGATCCATAATAAGCCTCATCTAATAATACATATTTGACTCCAAGTTTGAACTTAAGAACCCTTTATACATGTTCTCTTCATCATCTACTCTATTCTGCATCAATAATATCGCCATGTCTACTGAATTATGATTGTCACTATTATTTTGTGCTCCAAACCTTGAATCTCCTTCTCCTTCAAATGCCTCTTCTTGGCTCAATTGGGAAGCCACAAACTTGTCCAGTGCCCTCCAATCCGTCACCTTTGACATGTTGTTGTTGTTCCTTCTTTTGGTTGGTTGATATTCTTCTTCATAGCAATCTGACAGCAAAGAAATGGAGCTTGATCTCTTCACCAATGGAAGAGATGAGCTCTCAAGCTGTGGAAGCTGTAAAAATGGATCATTATATTGTAGAAGCTTCACATTCTCAGCTTCCATCTCCTGCTTACACATGATATTATTATGCTCTAACAATCCCTGTGGTGGTGGCTTCCTTGAGATGAACTCAAGCGGATCGATTGCTGAGCTGACTCCAATCGGTTCATCGTAGAAATAGCTCGAATCCCACTGCTCGACTGTCGTCTTTGATTGTCCCGTTGTTCGCTTCTTGAATGCCCTACATACCACCCACCCTTCTTCCTGAACAAACTCAACTAAATAAGAAACTGGAAACCTCTTCCTAGCATACGCATTTTAAAATTTGAAAGGGAAGTTCGGAAGGAAAAGCCCGTAAAGTTTTCTCTTTTGGTGAGGCTGTTTGTGGGTGTTTGGTAAAGTTATGAAATTATCAAAAAGTCAGAAGATGAATGATAAAACAAGGAAAAGTGATTGGAAGAAAGTGTCTTTTATTGACAAACAGGAAGGGTTAAAAGGGCATTGAAAAAATTATATGTATTTGTAAGTATTAGCCTTTGACCTGAAAATTTGGTGGGGGTCGTCTTTATGGAAAGGCTCTCCTCTTAAAACTGTGAAACCCATAAGTTCATTTCACATACTCATCATATTGTCTGTATAAAGTTAAAATGATATTCAAAAAGACTAAACTTTCTTTTTGTTTTTACATTTTACACTTATATGAACATCATGATTGTAATTGTATGTATCAAAAATTATTAATCTTATTACTTAAAGTGAAGAGCTTGCCTGGGGAGGGCTATTCTCGTCCGATTCTAATCTGTACTCGTGCATGATCCAATCAGTCTTTTGGCCGTTCGGGGCTCGCCCACGATAGAAGACGAGGGTTTTTCTCATACCCATGAGCTTATTCTTATCATAAACAGCCTTGTCTCTTCCGGTCGCCTTCCAGAACCCGGCCAACGTAGCCCTATTCGTCCTCGTCCCGGTCGGATATTTCTTGTCCTTATGACTAAAGAAGTACCATTCATTTTGCTCTTCATACCCAATCCAACATTTCTCTGCCCATCACAAACACAATTCTCATCAGATCATTACAAACAAAGAGATCTAGGGTTTGTTTAGAAACCCTAAAAATAAATGTTACCTTGAAGATCCCATGGCTCGATCCGATAAAGATCGATATCTTTGATGACATCAAGATCAATCTTCTGTGAAGCTACCTTCTTCCTTAGATAATATCCGACAAGCTCTTCGTCGGTCGGATGAAACCGAAACCCCGGTGGAACACACGATGACTCCATAGACTCCATCATCACCGCCAAGGTTTCTCTCTACATGTGAATTACTACATTAAATTCATCCCCACACAAAAAAAAAAAAAAAAAAAAAAAAAAAAAAAAAAAAAAAAAAAAAAAAAAAAAAAAAAAAAAAAAAAAAAAAAAAAAAAAAAAAAAAAAAAAAAAAACGTTAATCCTCTCATGATGGAAATTGAATGTATAGATATATAAATGAATGTGTGTTTATATATATGTAGGGGTTGATGGAAATTGGCGAATGAAATGGTGGCACGTGGAATGATAGATAATGATCAGTTGATTTGGTGGTATAAGTCTGTGAGGGGAGAATAACCCGCGTGTGTTATAAACAAAAGGCATTAAATGAGAGAGAATGATTATTTGTGGTGAAAAAAGTGGATGAAGAAATGATGAGGGAGAGGGAATGTTTTTTTTGGGAGGAAAAAATGGAGGTGGTTGAAGGAATTCGGACAACTAAAGGGGTGTTGGTTTGGGGTTAATCATGCTGTCCTGCCTTGGTAAATGCTTCGAATCATAACTAAGGATGACGTGATTAGTTATCACAGATTAGCACGCGCTTCTCCGAACTGGGTTTTTGAGTCTGATTCAGAGGGGCCTTTGTCTGGTTGTCGAGAATTTTTAAGGCACGTCCTCCGATCACCACCCCTCGAAAATGCCAACCTTAACTTTACCATAATTTCAACTACAAAATGCTCTCAGAAGGGTAAAGGTTAAAAATTTATACACGGATGGGGTTGGTATGTACCTGGGAGGAAACTAGTACAGCCGGCGGCGGAGGGAGGAGGAGGAGGAGGAGGAGGAGGAGGAATTGTAATTGAAGGTAGTGTGTAGGGGGGAAATGGGGAGAGAAAGGGATATAAAAGAAGGGTTTTGGGTACTGTGTAGGGTCAGTGTCTTGCGCATGGGTTCATGCCTGTCCCTACTTCCATGACGTCTTTCATTCTCTCTCTTCGCATTTTTTACAGTTTTACTTAACTTTTCTTTCTGCTGGTAAAATGTGAAAGGAAGGCCATCGCCTAAGTAATTTTTTATTATTACTATTGGCGTATATGGTGTCTTTTTGTGACGTATGAATAAATAAGAGATACATGAGTGAATGATATCACATTCACCATATATATATATATATATACTTGCTAAAACAATAAGAGGACAGAGAACAAAGCTCTCTCTCATGATCTTCGTCGCTAACTCTATCAATCGTTTAAAATGTTTTCAACTTTACTTTTAAAAACAAACTTTTTCAAACGGTTAAGAGTCTACTATTGAGTTATGATATACAATCATAACATGTGAGATCCGATGTTGATTGGAGAGGAATACGAAACATTTTTTTATAAGAGTGTGGAAAGCTATCCCTAGTAGATGCGTTTTAAAACTGTGAGACTGACGATGATACGGGACAAAGTGGACAATATCTACCAGCAATGTGTTTGAGTTATTATATATGATATTAGAGCCAGACATTTTGAGAGGACATAAGGTCACAAGGGGTAGATTGTGAGATTTAACATTGAAGAAAACCAAATATTCTATTAAAAATGTTTTAAAATTGTAAAACTGACTAAGCAAATAACAGACCAAAAACAATATCCGCTAAAGGTTAGCATTTTAGTTGGTGCTTGATTCTTGTTTTTAAGTGAAATTTTGTTTTTGAATTTTATTTTAAATTAGAAAACATAAAAATAAAATATTTTCCCAAACAACCTTAAAAAATAAGAAACAAGAAAGCCTTTTTTCAGGAAAAAAAGCTGAGATAAATTTCAGAAACAGTGAACTAAACCAATAACTCTATATATAAATATCATGTGATGATTAGAATTAATAAAGTATACATCATTTTTTTAAAATACATTTTATTTTTCCAGAATTTAGATAAAAAATACTATTTTGTATGGGTCAATCAATTTAAATATACACAAAAAAGAATTAATAATATTCATCCACGAAAATGAGAGAAAATAAGTTTAAGCACACACATCAGCCACGCTGGCAGAATAAATGCGATGCCACGTAATGCCGCCAAAAGCCGACCTCCCACGCTGGACACTGACTCGTGGCATCTCTAACTGACATGGCCTTTATGGACTCGAACGGTTAGGATGTAAGGTATAAAGAAGTGGTGAATGGGATGGCGTTGGGGGCATTTTCGTAAATTAGGAGGAGAGGTAGAATTCCGACCAGCAAATGATTTCTCGACAAGTACTTTGGAGAAGAAAGAAACAGTTGTCCAGAAAGGAAAGAGAAAAGTACAAAAAACAGGGACACGTGTCAGTCAGTGGTTGGTGGGGTTTTGTTCCTTTACGTAGCACATAAACAAAGCAAACGAAAAAGAATTTTGAAAATATATATTGAGTAAATTAGGGAGTGGTTTTATTTTAGGGCCAATTTAATTAAATTTATAGTACGTATTTTTAAGAAAGAGATTCAATTATAAAGTATAATTAATTGAAAACATTATTATATGGATTGGAAAAATAATAGAATTAATTTGAATAAGGGAAGAATAGGGTTGAAGAAAGAAGGGCAGTGGGGAATCTCCGACATGTCGTTTCATGATCTGATTATAGATAATGGTAAGTTATCAACGTCATTAGCTATGAAGACAAGGATTTTATCAAGTGTCGGCCATGGGCATGCTGGTCGGAGCACTAAAACGATTAATGTTTGGTTCACTCGGCCGCCGCCTTTAAGAAAGTGACCTGAATTAGTCGAAACGCCGCCCACCTCAGCCGTGAGGGAGTGGTGCATCCGGTGATATAGATTGCGTTTGCCCACGCAGGACGGTGGTGGTGGTGGTCGGCTGCGGATCCAATCATGCGGCGGACCGCATCATTACCCCGCCCCCCACCCAAATGGGTTCCCACCAAAAATTCCATTTTTCTCTGAAATTCTCGTCAATGAACAAAAGGAGAGAATAAATAAAACAAAATAAAGTTTGCGTTAGAGTACATGTTTGGCTATTTAAAAGGTTAATCAATAATTTATAAATAAGGAATATATCTTCATTGTTCGAGTGAAAAACAAAAACTAAAATCATAAAAAATTATATTTAAAATAGACAATATCATATTAAACGATTGTGATTCTTAAATTCTCTCGTCAAACCATATGTTAAACATTAATAATGCAATTTGGAATATTTTTGGGTCTTATTCATTTACCTCAGAAAGTATAATTCGTTAGATTAATTGGATTTAATCATAGCTACTTAGGCATAATCAAGATTATTAGATGTAGTCTTTTAATAATGTGATGTAGACCAACTAACCAAATTCTAACCCCACTAGTCAATTCTCAAAAAAAGAATACATTTGCTAAAAAGTCCTTGCATAAATGGTTAATTACACCAACACAAATATATATTTTGTTAATTACAGAATAATACATAATTCAATTTTAACTGGGCTTATCATTGGTATTATAGATTCCACTTCATGGTCACGGTGGGCTTTAGTTGTATGAGTAGCCCATTTGGATAGGCATGAGCGAAGCCCATTAATCATCCATAAATGGGCTGAGGCCCAAACAAGATTGGTCGAGCCCACATGTTGCCTGCTTAGTATGAATGGGAACATAGTACACTGAACACCTAGTCAGAAAAAGGGACTGTGATCAAAGATTTAGGGAATCTCTTGGTGGGACCCCTTAGTATTCTTATTTTACTAATTTTAAAATAAGTTAATATATAAATATCAACTACGCATAGAAATGGATTTGCTTTTCTTTGCCTGTCTAGTAAACTATATTATTTTACAAAAAGTCTATGCACAAGATAAGCTTAATTCAATTAAAAAATACTTCAAAATTTAATTATATGTGTTGATACACGGATCTAACATAAATGGATTCACACCGACTAAGAAAATAGACACTGAGAAGAGAAAGTGGATTTACAAACGTCTTATATTGGATTAAACGTCGAGATAGTAAAAAACGTGTTTGACATACACACTCTAATGCTTGAGTGAAGTACGGTTTATAGACGTTGAGTAAGAATTGGCGTATTGTAAGAATACCTTAAAGGTGCATCTCAGTTTTCTAGTGTATCTAAGGTTTTTAAGGGCACACATTAGGTTGAAACATGAATAAAATCGGTTTGATATGACCTTATTAGGTTATTCTAAGTCGGTTAGACTAATTCAATTGAATTTTAAGTCGCACTGGACCCAATTGAGCGCAGTTTGTCAAACTTCAATTACCATTTCAAAGATTGATAATTCAATCTTCCATCTTTAGCATGTATTAAACTAATTAAAAAAAAAAAATTGAAATATCAACATAAAATTTTCATCGAGAACTCGAATAAGAATGATGTGATTGTTTATGACCTTCTACCATGTCTACTCAACATGGAGTCTCGCTCATGCCAACCCCCAACATAGACCATCTCTTATGCAAACATAAAACACAACATAACTACCGTAAAACGTCGGTCTTGTTCCTCAATTCCACTCATTAAGAGCTTCAAATGACTTCGACTTGGTGAATTCACAGTATTAAATCATCACTAGTTCAAATGTGACTTGAACTTGACATTGACACCCATTGTATCATGGTATATTTAGTATCAGAACAAGAAAATAACTAATATTAAAAGCGAAAAACACGACAGAGAACAAAAAACATTTGAATTATTTTCATTGGACTACCAAGAACTAACAATAAAGTATTATCGACAAGTTTTCTTTTTTAATATAAAATTAAAAAAACAACGGTATTATTTAGCAAATAAATGGCATATTTAAACTAGGAACACTCAACGGTCACTGCTGCCACCTTGGACTCATACGCGCAAAACATTTTAAAAAAACAAAACCAAATTCCAACATGATGCGTTTTATACTGATGTTTTTAACTTATTGGGCAGAAAAATTATTGAAGCAATTAAAAGAAAGCAGAAAAGGGTTTGAATGAGCAATTAAATAATAGGGTCAGAAGGAGTAAGAGTACCCACCCACGAGGCCACGATGTTTTACTGAAAACTGCAGATTAGATTCAGACAGGCTGTACCCAAAAAGAAAGCTACTCAAAAGGGCTAAAAAGATTACAATTTTGAAAAGGAAAAAAAGAGAGCCGAAAGGATACCAATTGGATAGCGGGAAAAGTGGAAGCGTTGCATTGGGTGGTCTACGAGGAGCATTAAAAATCAAACCTTTGGGGGTTGGTGCCGTCGTGTTTTGCCACCTTCATCGCCTTCAAACTCATAAACTACAGATCAGAAACCAACAAGACATTAACGGCTACATGGATGAAGAACAAGGACGAACAGGGCGCCTCTGGGAACCACGTGACCAAACCCGGACCTGCTTGGCTTTTGTCGTGTTTTTGAGTAAAAAGGACACTTTTAGTCCCCCAACAAAAAAAAAAAAAAAAAAAAGAAAAAAAAAAAAACTAAGAACATCGGCTTTCCGTCCGTCCCTAACCGTTGACAGTTTGTTTTTGGTTTAAGATAGTGTTCTCCACAGTCCCGACCAGGCCATCCACTTTTCTCCATAAGAACACAATGATGGAACGGATAAAATGACATTTTAACAGCAAGGGGGAGAATTAAAAAAGAGAAATTACATTCAAATCAGTTGCGGTTAAAAATTCCAAAGTGATTGATGAATGGGTTGATTTGATTTATGGGTTCGGTGGCGAGAGTTGGGAGGTGGGATCGGCGGAGGACGGGATATCGGGTCCGACTCGACAACCTTCGAGCATGAAAACGATATCCGACATGGTCGGCCGATCACGGGGATCGGGTGCAGTGCAAAGCAATCCAACTTTTACACCTAGTAAGAACTCCTCCCATTCTGATGACTCTGGATCCAGCTCAAGCAATCCTGGTTCTAAAAGCTCAGTAATTTGGCCTCTCTGCAATTGCTTTTTTACCCACTTGACAATGTCTTCATCTTCTGTGAACATCACTGGTTTCTTCCCTGTTAAAATCTCGAGCAACACAATGCCGAAGCTGTAGACATCAGATTCCTTGGTGGCCTCCCCTGTCAACACTGCTTCCGGAGCAATGTAGCCCAATGTGCCTACTAAGGTAGATGTGGATGCTTCGGCAGAGGCCGTGAGAGTTAATCGATCGAGCCCGAAATCGGACAAATGAGCTTCGAAATCGGCGTCGAATAGAACACTTTGTGGCTTAACATCTCCATGGATAATGGATGATGAATGAAGAAAGGCTAATCCACGGGCGATTCCAAGAGCAATGAGATGCCGCATTGGCCAATTCAGAACATGACCATCTTGGTGAGATGCTTCCTGAAGGAGAGTAGCAAGGTTTCCATTAGGCATGTAGTCATACACTAACAGCCGCATATCAGGTGGGCCAGCATAGTAGCCACGAAGAACAGTGAGATTGCGGTGCCTAACTTTTCCCAATGATTCAGCTTCTTTTCTGAACATGTTTTCGTCCAATGATCCATTTGAGAGGCGGCGGATTGAGAGCACCATGCCATCATTGTAGCAAGCCTTGAAAACCAACCCATAACGGGTTCTGCTTAGAACATTTTCTTCATCGAATTGCCTTGTTGCCTCGATTGTTTCCGCCAAGGTAATCTTGTTGTTGAACATTACAAGCTTTGGCCCTCCATTTTCTGAGCTTCCACGGCCACCACTAGCCGCAGAGCTAACCCTTGCTGGGCTTGTTTTCTTCTCTCCAGACGCCTTCTCTTTGAGCCTCTTCCGCCATCTCAACAAGCTGAAAATGTAAAAGCAGCAACACAAAGTCAACAGGCAAGCTCCACTGGCGGCCACTACAATGAAGAGTATCAATCTCTTCATTCTATCCTTTTTCTCTGTATCCTTACAATTCCGAGCCAATGGTTTCCCACATAAATCAGAATTGTTAGCAAACACAGATGAACAGTTGAATCTAGAGCCTAAAGAGGGTGGAATTTCGCCTTCTAGATCATTACTCGATACGTTTAAGCTCGTCAATCCGGCAATGGAGCTAAGATTAGCAGGGATTACACCACTTAAATTGTTGGATGAGAGGTCAAGCGAGGTTAAGTTTGAGAGCTCCGACAACGACTCCGGTATGCTACCCGAAAGATGATTCGAGTTCAGACGGAGAGATTCTAAAGACGAGCAACTCGAGATCGCCTCTGGGATTTCACCGGTCAATTTATTACTGCCCAAGTCCAGCTCTAGCAGATGAGATAAACGAGACAGATCGGCCGGAATATGGCCTGAAAGAGCATTTGAATGGACCTCCAAAATTTGTAGATCAGAGCAGTTACCTAGCTCGGAAGGGATGGACCCGGAAATGTGATTGTCTGATAATGACAGAGAAACAAGTGATCGAAGAAACCCATAATTTGAAGGGATTTGACCGGAAAATCTGTTTGAGCTTAGATTCAAGTAGCGCAAACCCATTAAACTACTGAACCCTTCAGGAACATTCCCAGATAGCTTGTTTTCTTGTAATGCAATGACCTGCAAATTAGGCAAACCAGATAGCTCAAATGGCAACTCCCCAGAAATATTCTGTTTGCTCAAGTCCAGAGTCGTTAATTTGAAGAGATTGCCAAGACTGGACGGAATCATCCCGGAAAGACTGTTGGCACTGAGATTCAAAATCTCAAGACGACTGAGATTCCCAATGCCAGTCGGAACATCACCGGAAAATTCGTTCCCACCGAGCTCCATTGCTGTTAAATTCCCAAGCCCCATTAGCTCCAGCGGAATGGTTCCGTTCAAGCCGTTGTCCTCTAAATTCAAGATTTCAAGCGCCAAGAGATTTCCCAAACTGGCCGGAACAGTGCCGGAAAAACGATTTCCTCCGAGAGACAACTGTTTCAAACCTCTCATATGACCCAAAAACGGCGGAATCTCCCCGGTTAAGCGATTCCCTTCAAAATCAATGACAGAAATCGAGGCGAAGTTCTTGATTTCAGACGGAATGGCGCCGTGAAACGAATTATTCGCTAATCTGAGCTCTTGCAGTCCCGAAAGATTCCCAATCCCAGGCGGAATCTGGCCGGAGAAGTGATTGACGGAAAAATCCAAGAGTGTCAAAGTGGAAACGCCCGTTAACCACGAAGGGAACTCTCCCCTTATCTGATTGTGTTGGATATCGAGGACCTGTAGAGCACTAAAACACGTTGCTGTCTGAGATTTGACAATGTCCGTGAACCCATTAAATCCAAGTTGAACGATCCGAAGCGACGGCGGATGCGTCGAGACATTGCAAAACATGGAGTAAGGAACTGAGCCAGAGAGACTATTATGCGAGAGTGAAATAACTTGAAGATTCGGAAGAGCTCCAATGGCGGCTGGGATTACGCCTTGGAGTGCATTTCCTTCAACGCTCAAATGAACGAGCGAAAAACAATTCGCAAGAGCCGAAGGCAACGTCCCTTCCAAAACATTGTGGTCGAGCCAGAGATGTTTAAGCTCTTGAAGCTCACCAAAGCTCGCCGGAATCTCCCCGCCGAACATGTTGAAAGAGAGATTAACAACCTGAAGCTGCGTCATGTTCACAATGCTCCTTGGAATCTGACCGGAAAATGCGTTCGACGAAAGATCGAGATACCTAAGGCTACTCGGAAGGTCGCCGGGGATGACGCCGGAGAGGTGATTCTCCGCCGCGTTGAGAATACGGAGATTACTCATATTCCCAATCTCCGCCGGAATGCCACCGGAAAACGAATTATACTGCAAGAAAACGGAACGCAGAAACAGACATTTGGACAAAGAAGACGGAATCGTACCATTGAAGAAATTGGAACGGATACTCAGCTTCCGCAACATGGGCAAGTTGGGCAACTGATCGGTCAATCGACCAGAGAGTTGAAGACGAGGCAAACGGAGTTCAGTGACTCGATTATTGGTACAAACAATACCCCGCCAGTCACAGGGCGCCAATGGGGTGGAAGAATCCCAAGCCGTCAATGCACCAAGAGGGTCATGTAAATTAAGTTTAAAGGACATCAATGCCTGAATCTCCGGTAAACTTCGGGGGCTAGTGTCGGCAGAGGAGGAAAACAGAGCACCCCAGAGGAGCAGCAGCGCCAAGAATAACAGAGGAGGCTCCATGGCTAAGAAGAAAAACTGAAACCCACCAAGACTAACCCAAGGAAGGAAGAAGCATGACTTAGAATGGCGGACGTCAAAAAAGCAAAGCGAATGAAAGAGAGAGACGTTGAAGGGACCCAGATAAGGAACAGTGAGGCACAAAAAAGGAACAGGGAGATTCAGCGAAGAGACGCAGAAGCAGAGGAGGCAGAGGAGGCAGCAGAGGGTGTTGTTCGATGAAAATGGGGAGAGGAAGAAGGGGAAAAGGGGGAATATTGATGGAGATGGGCTGGGCCTCACGTTTTAGTCTCTTCTCATGTGATCCTGCGTTTTCTCCCATCATTATTACGCCCTCTCTTTTAATTTCGCTCCCTCCTCTATCAATTATTTTCTTTTCATGCCTCCCTTTCCTATTCATTTTTCCCTTTCATATTTATTATAATAATAAAACTTATCATACCCTAACTTTATATATATTAAAGTGTTACTAAATTTTTAAAAATTTAATACTAATCTATATTTATTTTACATATAAAAGGTAACGGCTCAAGTTCATTATAAATAGATATTGTTTATTTCAGTCTATTACGTATCGTCATTAACCTCACGATTTATAAATATGCTAGAGAGAGGTTTCCACACTCTTGTAAGGTATATTTTTTTTTAGAGTAGGGTGAACGGTGAGATTCCACATCAGTTGGAGAGGATAACGAAACATTATTTATAAGAGTGTGAAAACCTCTCACTAACGAACGTGTATTAAAATAATGAAATAAATTAGGAAGCCAGACAAGTATACCATCGTATTAAATTTATTGGACAATCTTTTTGCATAAAAAATAGAAAAGGATAATGATGTTGATAAGTGAGTGAGTGAATGAATGAATCATTTGGTCACTTAATATTAATATTATATTATAAGATGTATGCCTTTAATTTTATTATTTTATTTTATTTTTTTGTTGATATTAAAAAGGTTAAAAATGTAATCTCACTATCAATAACAATAATATTTCTTTCCAGACGGATAATAACTTTAAAAGAAAAATAATAATAAATTTCAGACGTGGAAATTCCTGCTAGAAAATAATGGTTGAAATTCCTTGCAATTTTAAATGCCATTTTTGCCCAACACACTTTTTCGTCCTTTACAATTTTATATATCCATATACTTGTTTGACAAAAGGGGAGTATATATAGAGGTCAAATTATTTGTTTTTTTTCTTTTTTTTATTTTCGAATCTTTACTTTTCTTAAATGAAGCATTTTTGGACTTATTATTAAACACGCCGATCATAGGGTCAAAGCAAAAAAAAACCAATCGTCAAAATATAATTTTATTAATATTTCTTATACATATATGATACTTTTTCCCCGCCATATTCAATGCACACAATTTGGAAAGATTAAGTTGCATATTCTAGATCCTGAATTCAACTTTTTGAACTTAAAATGTCGACAATATATTATAGATGTCACAATTATCCATACTTTAATATATATATATATATAATATAACGTTTAATGTCCAAAATTCAAATTAGATGATTCCAACATGAGATTATTCCCACGTATCAATACAATTTATTTTAAGCTCCTCCGAAGAAAACCCATTTTAAATCATTCCCTTAATATAATACTTTTGTTTAATATTTGTTTCAATTTGAAATTTAATTTGAATTATTTCCGTCTATGTCAGCGGGAAGGGAGTTGGTTGAATGTCATCAATTCTTTCCCTTTTCCTTTTATTTTATTATTATTTTTTTATAATTACTTTTCAAAATTCTCGAGGTTTTCGTGGTCAATGTCTACCAATAATTGCCCACTAATCCTTCCACTCTCTTTTTTACACCATCCTTTCTCAAATAATAATCAAACTTTTTGTTGCAATTCCATTTTAATAATTATATTTATCTACGAACGTTGGATTATAATCCTATTTTCAAATAAAAGAAAAAGTCAATTTGGGAATATTAAATTTTTAATTTTTAAAAAATTAAACTAAACTCAAATTGACTTGAATTGGATCCTTCAAATTAGTTGGATTATCTGAGTTATATAAATATTTCTACGACTCTTTATGCTAAAAAAAAAAAATAAAAAAAATGTTATTTGTATGCATATAAATTAATTGTTTTCACGGGAAGGTACGAGTAAATACGGAAATGGAATAATGCAAGTCCCAAAGAGGGGAAAATATTGATGAGAAAATAAAAGTTGCAGAAATAGGCTCCAATAAGTGCATAATTGATCCAGGGGTTGAGGGGTTTGGTTCAGCTTTTTCGGGACATCCTTTATTACCAGCCCAATCTACGCTTATATGCCTTTTTCAACTGGGCTTTCCTACTGGGCCCAGGCCCAACATTATCTGTCCACGACCCATCATTTTTGGACCTTTGCTTGTTTTCCAATCGGCCCATAACTTTCAGGCCCAGTTTTTATCTGATCTTTTGAAGCCCGCTTTATTTTCATGAAAATTTATTTCTCCGGACCAGATTATAATTATAATTTAACCTAGATTATAATATTATAAAATAAATAGTATACACCTTTTATTACATAAAACATTAAATAAATTTACTCGTAAAGTTTTCCGACCAAAAAAATATTTTATCATTTTTAAATATATTATCAAGCACAATTTTTTAAAAATATAAACCCGTAAAAATAAAACTTAATCCACCGACCATTTTGCCAAAACTCAATAAACTATGTCGACTAGAGTATAGTATATCCGATAAAAGCATTAAGTTATCGATGAAGAAGGAGAGAGCTTTCAATATCTAAAAAAAAACCATGGAACTCTTAATCTTATGTTTAAATTATAATAGTAGTTGTGAGATTCCTAGTCCGTTTGAGAGGGAAACAAAACTTTTCTATATACTTTAAAATCGTAAGACTGATGTAGATACATAACGACAATATTAGTTAGTAGTGATGGTTTGACTATTATAATGGTATCTAGACATTACGCAGTGTGACAGTTCACAAACTCATTCCTCATCGATCATTGTCAGAAATATTTGGCAACTCTTTGTGAAAGCAAGAAGCAACCCCATATGAAACCAAGTGGACGATGTGATACAATCCTCAAGATTTTCTAATTCCCATTTCACACAACATATTTCCCACCACAAATATCGAATCTGGTTAGGTAGAGACAGAGAGAGAGAGAGAGAGAGAGAGATTATGACATGAAAGCTTCTTGTAACTCACGTGGCGTTCTTATTATGGCTGCCCCGTCTGGTTGAGGTAAATGAAAACAGACAGCTCCCTGCCCCAAAAGCTACAATATTGGAACCCATTTAAGATATGAGGGATACCAATTCATGGCTTAAATTAAGCCACCAGCCACTTTCAATCACTATTCGCCCTTTCAATCTTGTGGATGATGAATGAGTTGACGTTGATACAAACTAGCCTTCACCGGGTATTAGTTTCTGAGCGTTAAAAAAACTTTTACTTCCTTCCTTTTCTCGAACCTCCTCTCCCTGACAATTCCAGCCACCTAATCCTTTTATCCTCTGTTTATATTATATTATCTTCTCTTCTTTTCTTTCTCTCTCTCTATTATTGTCATAACCTAACAGCAGCAGCCGACACCAAAGAAAGAACATCATCACATATCTGAAACTGGCCCGGGACGATAAAAACCCGACGAAACTTTAAAGATACCCTTAATTTTCAGGGCTTCATTGAGAGTTATGTGTTTTTTGTGAAGTTTACGAGGTGGGTTTTTGAAATTGAACGTAAAGTTTTGATCTTTTTGATGGGTTTTGTTGTGGGTGGCAATGAGTGAGGAGGATAAAAGCCATCAGTTTTGATGAGGATACTCTGTGATTCCTGCGAAACTGCTGCAGCAACTTTGTTTTGTGCTGCTGACGAGGCTGCTCTCTGCACAGCCTGCGATGCAAAGGTATATAAAACCAAAGTGTGTGCGTGTATTAATTTTGGAAGTCTTTTGCTGATATATGTGTTTGGGCAGGTGCACATGTGCAACAAGCTTGCGAGCCGCCATGTAAGGGTTGGGCTCGCAAATCCAAGCGAAGTTCCTCGCTGTGATATATGTGAGAATGCACCAGGTATAATCATTTTGTCTTGTTTTTTTTCTGTGATGTTTTTGTAAAGGTTAACATTCGGCGAGAAATTTATAAAATTTGCGCAGCTTTCTTTTGGTGTGAGATAGATGGGAGTTCTTTGTGTTTACAATGCGATGTGATTGTTCATGTGGGAGGTAAAAGAATGCACAAGAGATATCTTCGGCTGAGGCAGAGAGTTGAGGTTGGTGATTTTATCACATCCTTCTCTCTTTACATTCATACAAGATTAAGCTTTGTTTGTTTGATTGGTTTGCAGTTTCCAGGGGATACACAAAATGATGTGAAGGGCTCAAATGCAAAGCCGATGGAACAGGTTGAGACAGTGAGAGGCCAAAATCAAGAAAGGGGTGAGGAGAATGAGAAGCAGGAAGAAGATTTGAGATTCTCTGGTGTTAAAGGGTATTCCAATGGAGATAGGCATTCCAAGCGGCCTAATAAAGTGATTGATTTGAACATTTAGCAGCTTTAGTACTACTTTGTATTGCTACAATTTTCAATTTTAACTTTGATAATGAGTATCTGAACATTGTAAACTCATGATTCTAAAATTGCTACCCAAACCAGGAATTGGATGCTCAGGAACTAAGCCTCATCTAACCAAAGCTCACTTCATTGAATTGAATTAAGTGTAAGAAGCAATCTTTTGTAACTCCATGATTAGCTTGGAACAAAGCGACATGGAGCCGCAAGGGCGTCTCTATCATGACTTGAAGAGAGTAACTGTGGTTAATGTAGCCATTTTTCATCACCTCATTGATGCTCATTAACACACCGCCTTAGACTAATAAAAACAAACATAAGTGTAAAAAACTCGCCTCAAATGTGTTTGGTTACACAGATACAATTGACTTGTCTCTACACTAGGCCAAGTCATTAGGCTTAATTTAGTCTCTACTCAGGGTCAAGGTCTCTGGATGTAATGTTGCATCTCAGCCAGATGTTGGGCGCTGCTCTATTTGTGCAAATGCTTCACAAAATGGCATTCCTGTTTGAGGGGCATAAATGTCTACATAAAGAAGAGTACTTCCTAATCTCTTGGCACCAAGAATCCATAAAGCACGACATATTGAATAAGAACCCCCAAAAGATGGTATAATCCCCCGCCTGCAGAAGCTGGACTCGAAGAAGAAAAGGGAGAAATTAGTAAAATAACCGAGATTGAAGGGGCCGAGTCCATCAGAGGGTTGAAGATCGAGAACGATGGCACCCATGCTCGTGCCCTCCCGTCCTTGTCTGAATGCCTGCATCGTGGCTCGCTTCCCAATGTTTTGGAATTGTCATCAGTGTTTCTGGGTCGACAATGGCGGCCGTCGGCATGAGCAGTGCCTTCGATTTCTTCCTCCACCTGTTCTGTTCTGGCGGGTTGATTTTAAATGGGCCGATTAGTCGATTTTGGGTCATTGGGCCCAACTACATCAACCCACTAAGTTTGTATAAGTTTTGGGTCATTGGGCCTAACTACATTAACCCCGCTAAGTTTGTGCAAGTTTGGGGTCATTGGGCCTAACTATATCAACCCACTAAATTTGTATGTCTAGGTCATTATGAGTTTTTGTAACAACTTGGCCCGTTATAAGTATCAGAGTTTCTACTTCCTTGTAAAAAATACTTTGTTCTCCTCTCTAAACGATGTGATGGAGGCTAGCGTCCTCGCTGACACACTGTGTCACATGACACCTTATCAGGAGTGTTTCGTTTCCCTCTTTAGCTGATATGAATCTCACAATAGGTGCGTTTTAAAACCGTGAAGCTGACAACAATACGATATCTACTAGAGGTGCACGTGGGCTGTTACCGTTTTTATTCTAGAATCTCGTATCAGTAAACAATAAGAAAATAAGGAGTAAAGAATTCCATGAATCTTGTGCAACATTTTTCCATAACTTGGCTTACAGTTCAACACAGAAACAGAAAAACAGAGGCTTGAAGAAATGGCGATCTTTATTGCGGTTGTAATATGAAAAATATATAGCAGAAAAGAGGGTAAAGTTGTTGGTGAGCTGGAATCCAGTTTGAAACATATACGCCGCCGCCATCGAAATGCCATTGGCCATTCCCTTCCACTTGGATTTTCTGTAAATTTAATGTTCCGTCATGTGGCAAGCACTGTGCCTTTTCCCACTCCACCCCTTCTCATATTCTAATTCGTTAAGCAAAAGAAACCACTTTGTTTCATAATTTATGAGGCTCTAGTGGTGTCCAGTTCAGAGTTGGTTGAATTTTTGGTGGTGAAGATCCAACCCCATTTCATTCACAATTCACTCATTAATCTTACTTACTCTGGGAGTGTTGTTTTTGAGATTCATAATATAATGTTTGTAGGGTTTGGGGGTCGAAGTGGGGACTGGTTGGATTAGTTGGGAAGAAGAGAGTATAAAAGAGAGGGAGGGGGAAGAAAATTGGATCATCCAAGTTTGAATTGTGCAGAGAAATTGGAATGGAGAGAGGAAGGGTTTGTGGGGTTCTTTTGGTTGTTGGAATTGTGTTGAGCTTGTCTTTGGTTGAGGGGTTGAAGGGTTTTGAAAGAAGTGGCAGTGTGGATACATCCAATGAATGGTCTGAGTTGGATGGAAGCCTGTTTGGAGGAGTTGGTGTAAGCGGAAGAAATGCGACCGTTAATGGTGGGAGCGATTCGGTTAAGCGTGGAATTACGAATGGTGGCGGGGGAGGAGGAGGAGGAGGAGGAGGCGGTGGTGGTGGTGGAGAGGGAAGTGGGGTTGGGGTAAGAAAGAAAGATACGAAGCATAGTAAAAAACATGGAAAAGGCGGAAGTGGCGGCGGTGGGGGAGGTGGAAAAGGCTATGGATGGGGAGGTGGCGGAGGGGGAGGAGGGGGAGGNAGGAGGTGGTGGAGGAGGAGGAGGAGGAGGAGGAGGAGGAGGGGGAGGCGGAGGAAGTGGTGGAGGTTGGGGTTTTGGCGGCGGAGGGAGTAGGAGTTTTTGTTGGATATGGGGATGTGGCGGCGGTGACGGGAGGAAAGCAGGGCCTAGAAAAGAAGGCCCGAGAGAGTAGTGAACTTATATTACCGATTAAGATTTTGCTTAACATTTAATCCCTTTGAAAAACAACCAAACTTCATTGTTCCTTGCAACTAAGTTTCTAAGTTTAGGATTTTGCATTACCACAAAGAATAAAGAAAAAGAGAGATTTAAGGAGTGAGACACCTTCCCTTTTCTTCCATCCATTCATTGCCACACTTATACCATCTTCTTTGATTGATTAATGATAATATTTTTACTCTAATAGACTCGTTTGGTAAGTGAGTTTATAAGAATAAGTCTACCATTAAAATGATATCAAAACTAGATAACGAATAATGTATCAGCGAGGACGCTTGACGCTTGACGGAGACAATACTTTGGGGAAGCATAGAATAATAAATCGAATTATTTAAGAAAGAACTTAGGCGTGTAGAGAGAGAAAGGGAGGGAGTTGGGGGCATCTCCACGCACGTGAGAATGATTAAAAGGGCGAAGGGCAAAGTGGGGAACAGTCTTAGTGGGATGGGGGTGGGGCCCGCTTTTTCTTTTGTCCTAGTGGCTGACACTGCATGTCATATTTATTGTTTTTTCTCTAATACTTCCTTTCTTTTCACCTATGATAATAATAATAATAATAATAATAATAATAAGCTTAATTTACAAATTCAACCTCAAACTTCCTACTTATTTACTCTTTAAATTTTAGAATTAAATCTAAATTTCAAACTGAAGACGGCGTTAATGTTTGGAAGATAACGACAACAAGAAGTTATTGCCACGTGTTGGGCAAAGCCTCCCCCTTCTCAAACTGTTCCATTTCAAGATGCGTACCACTTACGCAATATTTTGCTTTTTTTATATTTTTAATTTGGAAAAATTGGACAAAATTATATAAGAAAAAAAAGGAAGGGATAAATATATTAATAAAAGCTGTTGTAATTTAATTGGCAACAAGCGCCGATGACCTACCGCACCTAATGAGGCTCCCTGAAAATGACATTTTTTTTTTACACACACACTGAACCACTAAACTTAATTGCCTCTCTCTTTGAACCGGGTTCGTCTATTCTGGTTCTTTTACACTACTCCTACGGGGTTGGGTCTGGACCGGAGTGGGTCGTCTCCGTTTCTTTTTTCTGTCGCATCTCCAGTACTTTCCGGTGGTGGTTTGAATGAAGCTCGCTCGAGAACGTCGGGCTACAAGCCGGTCTATATTCGGGAAAAAGCCGCCCGGATTTGAACCGTACACCGCACGCGTTACATAGAGTCTTGGACCCCAGCGGACCAGCTCGCCACTGTGGGGTTTTTTGAACGCCGCAATGGCTACACCGCCGTGGCGCCTGCCCCCTGCCGGAACCCTCCTCTGCTGAGTTTTTCTTTGGTTTCTTCGCCTGTGGTGGGTATAACGATGGAGAAGAAATTGAATTCGTTAATGACCAGACTCGGCCGGAGATTTTTGCTCGCTTGCTTCTTGGCTTTGAGGGAAATGGGGTGTTGAGATTAGATTCAAAATTCGGAAGGATGGGAGCATGGTGGGTTGGTTCCTTTTGGTAACTATTGGGTTTCTCTGTCAAAAAAACAGAGCAGTTCAGTGGTACGGCAGAGTATTCTTCTTGGGTGGAGTCGGCGACGAGATGGGACAGCCATTCGAGGTCTTCAAAATCTCTTGAAGAAACAGACCAAAAGACATCTCCAGAGGAATTGGTGGAGCTGTGGTTGGAATTTTCGTCGCTCTCACGGTGTTGTTGAAGTTGCAAGGGAGCAGAAACAGAGGAATGGTTGTTTTTCTCTTCACCCTCTGCCTCCTCCTCCTCCTCGTCTTCTTCTTCATTTGAAAAGTTGAAAAGTTGGTCTACAAAAATGTAATCGGAGGAGGGGGATGCAGAGCTTTGCGGGTTTGCAGACCGAAGCTCATCCAAATGGAGTTTGGGGCTGGGTTTGTTGATGAGACCCATCTTCAACGCAGCCTCCATGCATTCAATTTCCCGAGACAAGCAAACCTAGCAACAAAACAAGAGAAGAATTTGCAGAATGAAAAACGTAGGAAACAAAGAGAAAGGGAAATGGAAGAAATGGTGAATTGGGTAAAAGTATACAGCATTTAATGAAGGGAAGGAATGGTGGCGAGGCCTCGGCGTTGGTCTGAAACTGCCCGTTTCTTCTTTTATGGGACTGCTTTCTTTTCTACTCTGCTATCATGGATCCTACGCATGGAACCGATGGGTGAGGGTGGTTGGGAGAATAAAGGAAGAAGGCAAAGCCATCCATTGTGAGAGTGGGCGCAACAGCAAGTGGGGGAGGCAGAGTTTGTATTTGGCCATAAGTGATAAGTCCCTTTATACAAACTCCACCCAAAACAAACAACCTTAAACCAATTCTCTTTTTTCCCCCCTTACATGTCTAAAATTTCAAACACTTCCAAAACATTTTCATGCACCTTTCATAAATACAATCTGCAACTTCGATACTATCTACTTAATACTCGTCTTTTACAAAAGCAGTAGAGATAGAAAGAATTGTAGAAGATGAAACTGACAGAAACAGAAAGAAGTAGCCGTTGAGGAGATTTGATGAAGTGAAATTAAGATTGAAAAAGTGGGTGTTCTTTTTCTTCTTGTAATCTTCTGCAAAACTGGGAATCTTCACAAAGCCCCAAGAACGAGTACAAAGGGACAGTAAAAGGAGACTGTTTTGTATTGACTTTACGTGCAGAAAGAGGGAAGGGATAAGGATGGCTGCGGATCACAGGTACCCAGCCCTTCAACCATGCTGTAGAGTTCTTCTTGTTCATAAGAATATAATGTGACAGATTAATGGAAATTTAGACAGTTTCGATCACAATTAAGATGGTTTTGAATAGAGAAAGACATGTTTAAGAGAATGAATTTGAGTTGATATTATCAGAAAGATTATGTCCAATTTGTGGACATTTTTTTGTAACATTATGGATAATCCTAACAATTTGTGGACTAAAACTCTCTCTGTTTCTCTAATGGAATACTCTCAGTTTGGAAGCAGCTGAGGTATGTGCCTATTTTACATACTGCAACTCTTCCAAAGATTGTAGCTGGTCTACGAATCTCTGTAGAGGGTACTTTCATTAGAATTGGGTGCGTGTTTGTGTACAAAATCAGGAAGACTCTGCGTAGATATCTGGTCGCCAATTGCCTTTCTGAGCACTCAGCAGTCCTTCCTGGTTTTTGGAGAAGGTCAAGTGAACTTCCCAACGGAGAGACTTTAACATGTTCTCCACTTCTCCGATCGTGCTGGACTCATCTCGGACGATCAATTTGCCTCCTGGTCTTACGATGCGGTCGACCTCTGCTAAGACAGGAGGCAGTTTGCACCTATACAAGAGAAAAGGTCAGGCTTGAATCTTTATCAGTGAAATGTTGGAGTATCTGTTTCTACCTCTTTTTCAACTTTGAGAAAAGATGATCAGCGTGTAGAAGATCATATGTTCTTGGATATGTGCTGAAGGATTCACACCAATCATGGTAAATGCCGAAGAGACCGCGCTCGTAGATCACCGGAAGCGTATCGGGAGAGTCTACATTCACTACGTTAATTACCCAGACTTTAAGGTCTCTCAGAGCTGCTGCAAACCTGCAAGGACAATGTTGAAATGTTTCGTGTCAAAAGTATAAGTTTTGTGGATGAGATAAGAAAAAACAGAAGGATTTACTCTACCCGCCATAAACAGATCTCATATCCATCACATTCCTGATGTTGGACAAATTTATGCCTAATCCATTCATGTAAGTTTTATTCACAACTCTTTTCCAATGTTCATAATCAGTTGAGAAATCTTGAGGAGCTGGTTTGCCATAAACCCCCATCTGGGAGCTGTTTAGCCAGTAAGGAGGTGCTTGCGACCTCTGAGGCCATTGTTTTGGCCAGTTGCTTCCCCTCACTGCATTGTCAACCGGCACACGGTGCATACATGCTTGCAATGGCACATACCTGAAAATAGAAGTTCAAATGCTAAATCAAATCAAACCCATTGAACGCAATTGAACTTGAGATGTCCTGAATGCTCGCTTACCATGCTGCGTTCGGATCGTCGTCGTTTTTGCACATGGAAGGACGCTTTTCGTTTCTTTGATCGTAGCATTCGTTTGAGGTTGGTTTCCTGTAAATGGCAGCTCCAATGGAGTTCAACTTGTCCTTCTGAATTGTCATAAGCTCCCAACACATGGACTTTGTCAAAGAAGACATTTCTGAGGGACAAAATAACCAATGAGCATTCAAGTGGCCAGCGAGGTAGATATTTAATAACGCTTCTGAATCTATTTGTTTGTTGAACATGTTCTGTTTCTTGTCTATAAACTTACTTACCTTTCCAAATCTCAACGTCTTCTTCTAGGGTCTGGTACACCGGAGTTGCAGACCAAACAAAAAACCCTCCCGGCCTCAGCACTCGGTTCAATTCTAAGAGAAGCATCCCACCTGCATCGGCAAAAAGAAAACGTCTTGATTTCCTAACTGTCGAGCTGTAATTACAAGTTAAGAAGATTAGAGAAGTCCATGGTTGATTATATAACCTTCTTCATGCCAAGGCACTCTGCATCGAGCACAGTGAATAAGGTCAAAAACCATGCTTGGAAACGGCAGACGCTGTGAGCCCATGACAGCAGAAATGGCTGGAATTCCCCTCTCAAGGGCGAATTGGACTTGAGCTTCATGCTCGTCTTTCGGTGCAAACGACATTGCAAGCACGTCTTTCTCGAACAGATAGCCGCCGAAGCTGGCAACTCCGCAGCCCACGTCCAATATCACTCTTGTCTTCTTTCCCCACTCAATATCAGGTAAAGACTATGCCCATTTCATATCTTAAGTTATATTGGATCTAATAAGAATGGAATTTGATTTTGATGCCCAAGTTGGAGATCATTTTTTCTTACCTGTTGAAGGAAATCTATGTAGTGTAGAGCGCCGTGGATGAACTGAGTACCACCGCCGGGAAAAGTCAAGAACTCGCCGGTAACCTTGACCCAGTTTTGGTGGCCTTTCACTTCGGCAAGCTTTGTGCGTGGTACATTGTGGTACCAAATCTGTGGCAGTTCACAAACACGGACAGCTCATGATATGATCCAATTCAGACGGATTCGTCAAAGAGTAATCACAAACCACAAATCTCATATATCTTCATAATATTACCTTGTCCCTACTCTGAGGCCATTCGATGGATGTTTTGTAGTTCTCCGGGAGGGAAACCAGGCATGTGGGTCCCTCCTCCGGGCAGTGTCTCTCCCGGTGCTCGAAGTGCTTTGTCGTTCGCAGCTTCTTAATGGCTTTCTCATTATCTAAACAGGGGATGTAATCAGCCCCTGACGTGACATTGCAGAGCTTCCAGGTGTATCCATAGATGCTACCGTCACTGCTCGATTCTTCCCTCCGGCGATCATTCTCGTTCTCCGATTGCGCTGCCTGTGTCGACCACGATTTCTTAGACTCCTTTGACTCCTTGGGTATCACCGAGCTCTCAAGTGACCCTGCTGTGGTTGTCTCTTCTACTTTGATTTCCGTCTTTGATTCCTTTGAGGCTTCTTGGCTCCCCTTGGATTCAGTTCCCTGTGATTCTTGATCCTCGGTCGGCTTTTTACTATTGTTGCTCGTGTTCGAGTTGTCCTGTTCTTCTTGCTGTTGTGACTCTTGTTGAGCCTTGTCATCATCCTGGTTATGAATTTCGGGTTCTTGCGGGACTTTTTCGGGTTCAGATTCAGGTTTCTGTTGATCATTTTGAGAGTCTCCACTGTTTTCTGGTACATCGGTTGCTGGTAGTTGCTCTTCATTTGAAATTGCTTGTTGAATTTCTTGTGAATTAGCGTTGTTTTCAGGCTCCTCCTGTATCTGCTTTTGTTGTTCTTGACCATCAACTTGCAAAGGCATTTCATTGGATTTGGCTTCCACATTCTCCGGGGATTCATTGCTTTGTTCTTGGCTCCCTCCTGAATCTAATTTGTCCTCTGTTTTTTGGGCGTCATCCGGTTGTTGATTTCGAGTCATTACGGTCTCCTCCAACAATTGAGCCTCATTGGCGTCTCTCGACTCCTGGTCCTTGGAACCGTCATCGGCGATAATATTAACAGCGTCATCGGATTTAATAGCATCGAGAGGGAGATCACCGGGATTATCCTCGAACACGGAAGTGGCATCCTTCTCTTGGGATTTGGGGAGTTGGGTTTCGTCGGAAGAAGTGCGAGTTGTGGACGGCGGGGGAAGAACGGAGTTGGAGGTGAGCATCCATACTCCGAGAACGCATAAGGATAAGAAGACGAGAGTCGTAACAGTGGAGGCGTAAGAGGAAGAAGAAGAAGAGGACGATCGCTTGCTACCACGAGGCCTTCCGAGAGCCATAACAGAGTGGCAAAAGGTGAAAAAAGGAGGAAGTCGGAGATTGGGTATGGCGAGTGAGAAAGTTATAGTATGGGAAGAGAGAAAAGGATGGAGAAGACAAAGGATTCTAAATTTAGAAGCTTCGAAGATCCAAAAGACTCGGAGAGAAGACATGTTTGTAAGGGGACAGGTGTCCATTCAGAAACTTCCTGTTTTTGTGCCTCTGCCTTTGCATGTATTGCATGCACCCTTCTTTTATCTCCCACCACCTTTTCTTTTTATCTATTTGTTTTTTTATTATTAAATCAATGGGCCGTGGGCCGAATCATCAAAAAGAGAAAGGCCCATTAGAAACCCAGCCCATTCCATAGGAGTTGGCCGAAAGCAATAATAATAGAATGAAAAACAAAATTAGAAACATTAATATTAAAAGCTCCAAATTCCGACGTGGATTCTTATTTCCTCATAAACTAAAATGACTTTTTCTTCTTCTTCTCACTTAAAATATCTTATGTAAAAAAAAAATCTTTATGCCGGGTTGATGTTAAATATATGTAATATTCTTTATAAAGGTGTAGAAATCTTTTTCCTAATAGACATGTTTTAAGATCGTGAGATTGATGGTGATACATAATGAGCAAGTGGATAATATTTGGTAGCAGTGAGTTTAGGTTGTTACAAATGGTATTAGTGCGAGCAAGGATGCGAGGCCCCTAAGGGAGATTGTGAGATACCACATTGGTTGAAAAGTGGAACGAAATTGCAAGATCTCACATTAATTGGAGAGGGGAACAAAACAATCTTTATAAGAACGTGAAAAATCTCTTCTTACCAAACGCGCTTTAAAACCTTGAGTGAAAGTTCAAATAGGACAATATCGGTTAGCGGTTGGTACGAGTTGTTATAAAACATTCCTTATAAGGGTACTGCTTGGGCGGTTACAAAATATTTT